TTTTCTAACTCATCATTTTTTCCCCTATTCTACTCTTTTTATTATTTTTTATTTTTCTCTTTTCTTCTTCTTCAATGATGATGTGGCAAGTGATTGACTATGTAACAAAAATACAACACCATTTTGTTGCACCTTGGATTTAAACTTGAAACCTCTTGAATGATAATTTGCACAACACACCAACTTTCCTACAATGCTCCTTGTGTACATTTTTTGTTATAAATAAATATAATCTTCCTTTTGCAGCCAATTCTTCACTTATTTTCCATTTTTGTTTCTTTTCTTCTCATTCTGAAATTATGCCTACAAAATACAAAAACCAAATATAAGAACATTTAAATAATATAAAGACTAATTAAATGTTTATTTTTGGAGCATAAAATAATAGTTTTTGTGTACTTATTAAATTACCCCCAAACAAGTTTTTGCTAGTCCTCTAGTAAATAGACAAAAATAGATTAGTTCACAAAATCATTAATTTATTAATTCCTAACTAAAGACGTGCCATTTTCGTAGACTGTTTTCGATTGCATTTACCATATGCAATAAGGCCTTAAACCCCTAGGTTACCCCTAGTGGACGAGTTATAGTATCGTGAGGGTTTCCAGTGAAGGTACTCACAAACTTTCAAAGAATTTTTCTACATATCTACAAAATGAAAAATTTCAGAGATAAAAATATCGAGTTCTTTATATACAACGAGCTATTAAGGTGTTATAAAAACAAATATTTCAATAAAGTTCATCCATAAACAACCTAGAAGTAGAGAGTGAGTGTGTGCGAAGTCGACAAAAATTCATTTTCAAATCCAACTGATAAAAATTCCTAAGTCTCTAGAAAACTAAGTTTTGACTTCAAATCTCACAGGAAAATATCTCTCTAAAAGAACGGCTCTCGAAGATTTGGCTAACTGTATCTCTTAATTGTATATGAGTAGGAACTCTGTTTCTAAAGTAAAATCAAGCTCACATAATTAAAGAATCAATACACATAATAGAAGAGTCTTATGACATGAATGTTGATCACTTTTGAGAGAATGTTGAGTTACCCACCATAACGCATTCTCATTTACTCTACATTATCATACATTTTCTAAAAACATTATTGAGCTCAATTTGTACATAAATGTTTTTGAAAATGAGGGGTTTTCAAATACTTTAAAGGGACATTTTACTTTTCTTTTTCAATTTTATTTAATTTTTTTTTTATTTTTTTTTATTATTTTTTTTTTTTTACATTTTTCTTTTTCTTTAAAGAGGATATGTGAATGACTTCTTGATATGAATATTTACCACTATACTACAACAACTTAACTAAAATTATGTAATGGTAAGTAGGGTCGAACCACGTATTCAAGTGAGTCTTTGTTTTGGAAAATGAGATTTAAAAATATTGATTTTGGAGTTTGTCACCACCTACTAAAATAAAATTACTATTAATAAAAAGTAACTTAAGTAATAGTGAATTAAACACTGACAAAACAATATAAGAGCAAGGAAATACAAGCTATAAAATATAAACAACTCAGAGTAAGAAAATAACACCAACAAATAAATATTCTCGTTAGCCACACTTCCGGTTGGGTCAAGTTCTGAAACCATTTGTAACGACCCACTTTACCATATGGTATGATATTGTCCGCTTTTGGCATGAGCCTGTAGGGTTTTGCTTTTTGCCTTTACTCCAAAAGGCCTTATACTAATTGGAGATAATACCACCACATATAAGCATTTCACCTTTCCCTTACCTAGGCGATGTGGGATTGTGCACCCATAGCTCGCCCAGTGTAGTAGCCTGCCAGTGACTCGCACCAGCCCACGGCACACCAACCTGGCTCTGATACCATTTGTAACGACCACTCCATCATATGGTATGATATTATCCACTTTGAGCCTGAGCCCGCACGGTTTTGCTCCTGAATTTTACCTCAAAAGGTCTCATACTAATTGGAGATAACAACACTACATATAAACACTTCACATTTCCCTTACCCAGGCGATATGTGATTGTGCACTTGTAATTCGCTCATTGTAAAGAGCAAAACCGTGCGAACTCAGACCCAAAATGGACAATTATATCATACCATGTAGTATAGTGGGTCGTTACAATATTAATTATATGTTGGTACATGCACATATTTAATAAGATTCAGAGACATTGCTTGTGAGTTTTTTTTTTTTTTAATTTTTAATTTTATTTTTTAGGGTAAGGCAGAGATAGGGATGGTCCCCGTTTAGAATAACTAAATCCATTTTTGTCCTAAAATTGTTTATTAAACTGGGCGGAATGAGGCGGGGCGTATTTTGTAGAGTATTTTTGTAATTATAATACAAATTTAACAAAAATAAATAATAAAATAATTTTCAACTATGATAATAATTTTCTTTCAATAAGATTCAACTTGTTAATTGAAACTTAAGACTAAAATTATTGTTGGAATTTCAAAATGATATATAGAAGTTTTCAAATAAGAATAATACAAAAGAATATTTGGTGATTAGAATAGGATAAACTAGGATTTGCTTAATATATACTTAATATTATTGAATATAAAATAAAGTAATAAGGATAAACTTATAATTTATCACTCACGTAACGGGACGGGGCGGGGCAGGGCGGGGTGATCTTTTCCCATCCCTGCTCCATATTTATGTGAGTTTTCAATTCTAACTCTTATCTCCGCCCCAAAACTATTTAAAAAACCCCATAATCGTTCGAAACGGGGCGGGTGGCAGGGTATTTTGCCATCCCTAAACATAGACAAGGCTTGTTCAACAATTTCAATCTAGCTAAGTAATGCAATTAAATGATATTATATATTATAGAGGCACAACACAATGTATATAATGCTTATGCATGATCGCAGGAAGGGAACACGAAACTAGTTTATTTTTTATATTATTTTACACAAAGTAACTGTCTTAGTACTACTTGTATCCTAATTAATCTTGTTTGTTTAAGTTCTTCACAAAATGGTTACTTTCATTGTCATGGTTATAGCGATTGATGATACTTATAAGCATTAAACTACATCTTTTCCCTATTGGGAGAACACAAAATGAAGATGAATATGACAATTCGAACACTTAATTTGCAATAATGTAGGTGGACATACCATTGGACTTGGGCACTGCAACTTCTTCAGCAACAGGCTCTTCAACTTCAATGGACAAGGAGACGAAGACCCTTCTTTGAACTTAGGGATGGAGCCAAATTTTTGTTCGGGGCACATTATACACTAAATAAATATAAATTAATATTTATGGAGTATATATACGTAAAGAGAAATATAGATAGAGATTGATATTTTTTGAATGAGGTAAATTACATATATAGAATATAATGAAACAATTTAAGAATTTTTTTTTTAAGAAAACAAATAGAGTATATAAGGGAAGGAGAAATTTGAAGGGGGACACTTTTACACATTTTCAAAAAATATATACCTGTTATAGAAAAATATATATATAAAATAAGAAAAGAAAAAAATTCAGGAGGGGCAAATGCCCCCTGTCCTATACTGGCTCCGTCCCTGTCTACCCTTAGAGCTCTCAAAACTTCCATGCTGGTTACTTCGCCATTCTTAAGCAAGCAAAATCATCGATGAGTTGATTAACCAAGCTAGGTTTTTTTGGGAGTTTGCGCTCGAAGAGATCAGGAAGAAATGCAGTGCCATCAATACATAAGAGCAGTTTAGATTGTTTTTCAAAATATAATTGAGGTTTGGTTCAATTATATTTGAGTTTATGTACTTTTCTTTAGCATTAATATGCTTCTTTTGGTGGAAAACAGACATCCGAAATCAAGGAATTAATGTGTTTCTCTGCATTCATGACATCAATTTTTTTTTTTTTCGTCTTCCCTTCTACTAGTCACAAAACATGCTCAGCCATATAAGACAAACTTAACATTGCACCGCAAAACAATTGCACCACAAAACAAACCATGATCTAGAGTCCTAAAGTTGGACAAGTCTAACTAATTTCTCATCTCCTTCTATTACAGTATATATTTTCCTTCAATGTATATTGGTTTATTGCATTATTTGCAATCCATCCTCTATATATAGATAGGTATAACACCCAAAATAAAACAAAAAAGCAAAAAAAAAACAAAGTGGTAATTTGTTTGGGATTTTATACATAGAATTGAACATTAACGCTTTGTTTGGATTCAAATTATTGAGGAATTCCGATTTGGGAAAAAAGAAAAAGAAATTGGAACCCAAAATAAAAACAAATAAAAAAAGTCGCGCTATCATTTGTTTGGGATTTTGTATAGTGAAAGCATAGATTTGAACATTGAGGCTTTGTTTGAAAGCAAATTGTTGTGGGATTTATATTTGGAAAAAAGAGGAATAAATTGGATTGATTTGAAATGAAATTCATTGTGTTTAGAATAAATTATAATTTTATTATAAAGGAAAGGTCTCTTTCACCATTTTATCCGGATTGTAATATTATTTTTTAGAGGAATGAAAGACAAATTAGTAAGATACAAATTTTCAAAAATAAAAATAAAAATAAAAATAAAAATAAAAATAAAAATCTACAAACCCATCAATTTCCACTAATTTTCATTGAATTTGGGTGCACTATATTTTGGAATTTCAAATCTTATGAAATTCAATTCTTTTTTAAATTCCATTCATTCCAAACATAAAAATTCAATTTTAAATTTAAAATTCCACCAAATCCTAACATTCGAAATATTAGTCTACTTTGTAAAATTTATTCGAAATGTTAAGTCTTCGTTTCATTAATCCAATCCTGATACTCTTGATTAAAGTGGACTGTTGAGGTAAAATTATTACTTTTTGTTGCAACACAAAAAAATCCTAAAAGTATAATTTTATTTTTATTTAGACAAAAATTGCTTGGCATTGGATATTTACTTATACAAGTTTTTCACTTTTTTCTAGTCAATAAATACAATACAATTTATATTTTTGTTAGGAAAATTTATAAGCGGGACTCAGTGAATTACTATAAATTGTTCTAATTGAAATAAATTAGTACTCCCGCTCTCTTTCTCTCTCTTCATTTCTAGGGCACATTTTCTGGTTACAGATCGGACTTTAAATTGTTCTAATTGAAAAAGATTAGCGCTCTCTCTCCCTCACACACACATCACACACATTTTCTGGTTACAGAAAGGGTTGGTCATGGAGGAGGACACTCCTGTAGCTTCAGAAGCAGTGCTTCGCCGCTCGGTTAGTTCTTAGCTCTTACTCAGCTTTGCTTGATTATCTATCTTCTTTACTTGCTCAGATTTTAACCTAATTTTTTCTGTTATTGCGTCAACAGAAACGGCCTAGGGCTCAGACTACTGGGACTGGTCAACCGACCAAGACAAATGGTACCGGCAGAGGGAACGCGCAAAGGGCCAGCGACCGCACTGAACAAAGCCCTAATCAGCCTGAGCTAGAGGACTCTTTTGACGATTTTGTGGAACCTCAGTCCAAAGCTAAGCGGAACCGGACTTCGGAAGGGGCGTCGGCATCGGCAAGGAGAGACGAGCTAAGTTTGATTGGTAAATTCACTTTTCAATTCTGGAGTTTCGAGTACCAGTAAACAACTATGGGGCTATATGTGTGTGCAGTTTCGAGTACCAGTAAACAACTATAGGGTTATATGTGTGTGCGCGCTCGCGCGTGCATTTATGTATGTTAAAAAACAATGAAATTTTATGAATTTGTTGCTCGATGATATTATAGAACTAAGTATGACAGAATTGCAATGGAGAACTATGATAGACTCATCGGTAAATTAATCTTAGACTTCTGCTGTTTCGAGTGCCCTACAATTTGTTTCTTAAAATAACCAAGGGAATTTTATGAATCGGATGTTAAAGAATATTCTTTTGACAGAATCAGTTAGAATTGCATTTGCACATTTGGTAGACTCATTGGGAACATTTTAATATGATAATAACACCTTGGGGCCAGTCTGATTGCATATAGAATTTGGTTTAATTTAGCACTTTAGTTAATTTCTGTGTTATGTGGTGTTTTTTTTTTTTTTTTTTTTTTTGTTAATTACTTATTGACTTTTCACAATTTTATTCCTTCATGTTTGTAGGGTATATTCTATTTCTATAAAATGACTGGGAGCGGGATTATTACTGCATAGATGTGTGCATTGACAATGTGAAAAGTATGCAAATGGATGATTTGAATTTGATGAGAATTATGTATAGTTTGAACTACTTTGTCATGGAGTTAGACTTTGCAATTTTAGTTTCCAATTTACTGATCTAACATCTTACTTGACATTTCATTTACCTCCTACACCACCAAAGCAACTTGTAAAATTATATCATTTTGATCTATAATGATTGAGATTTATGCATGATTATGGAAATTGATTTTTGAGTGTTAGGTCTGTGGTTCATTGTTAATAATATGCATCACCAAGTGTTGCCTGTGTTGAGCTATAAACAGGAACGACAGTTTGGATCATGGGGTGGGTAAGGTTGCAAGTACACTAGCCTATTCTCTAGGCTATGGTAGATTATAAAAAATTAACTAAACAAAGCATGATCGGTGCTACTATTTCTGGCAAGCAAAATGAATGTTTGAAATAGAGATATTGTCAATCCAAATTAGAAAATTCATCTTGGTTCATATCAAAGTTGGAACTCTAAGGTTTGTGGCTTTAAAGGCTAGTGCAAGAGTTACCCAAAAAAAAAATAATAATGAAGGAGCCTAGTGCAAGCCTGATTATAATATTGAGAGTGGAAAAGGTTTCACATGACGTGTTCCATTACCAAAAACAACCTTTTCTTGAGTTTTAATTGGTTAACCCATGTTTAGGTTAGGTCTATTGGTTGGGTGAATAAATACCATCCTTTCATATCTTGTCTACTTTGCCTGCTCTGATGTTTTTACTATGATGTCCATTACAGCTGATACTTTAGAGGATATGCTTTTCTTGGAAAAATTGTTATAAAAACAGACATTCTTGTAAGAAGTTAAATTGATATTTTAGTTTCCATTTTTCCACGATGATTTACAATAAGCAATGTGTGAAACACTTGGTGTTTGGGCCTCTTATCTTCTTTGTAATTGTTCATGTTGCTTTTATATGCTGTTTAACTCAAGTTACTCAACAAAGGCATTTATCCTGTGTACCTGGGATCTTTTACCTTATATTACATAAAACAAATACAATGGGCTAATTGTATTTTATTTGTATAATGGACACCTGTTTATTCAGATATTTGATACCTTATCCTGAATGCGACAAAAACGTTTTGTATTTTTATTTTATTTTATTTATTTTTTTTTTTTTGTGATAAGAGAGTTTGCTGGGATTTATCAACCCAAACCTAAAGTTGTAGATGTGCTTCTTGACAAGACAAAGAGAACAAAGAGAATTTATGGAGACAACTTGTCTATCTTTCCCTTCGGGAGACTTCCTTTACATAATAATATTGAGTATTCTATACAAGGAATGCTTACAATAATCATATCCCAAGATTTTGAGTATCCACAAATAATATCCGTAACTACAAGCAATCTGTAAATTATCTAAATTGGAATGGAATCCCTAATTATAAGCTATCTTACAACGGATCAAATCATCTAATTTTGGTATGCAGATCACTTCCTTTGAAATCTCCGATATCCACCCCCCCCCCCCACAAAGCATCAATTTGTCAACTAAGAAACTGGTGACAAACTTAGTCGAGGCTTTAGTGAAAATATGTGCAGTTTGGAAATCTGTTGACACATGAGGCAAAGTGATGAGATGATTAACATAGGCTTCCTGAATGTAGTGACAATCAACCTCTATGTGTTTAGTCCGTACATGAAATGCTGGATTTTTTGTAATCCGTATGACACTTTTGTTATTAGCATGTAGAGAAGTAGGAGTTAATTGAGGAAAACCTAATTAAGATAAAAGACGACGAAGCCAACTATTTCAGAATAGGCAGAAGGCATGCCTCGATATTTTGCTTCACTAGAAGATTTTGAAACTCATTCTAGTTTCTTGCATTTCCATGACACAAGGGAGCCATTGAGATACGTGCACCACCCCGTTGTAAATCGACGAGAATCAGGACAACCTGCCCAGTCAGTATCACTATAAGTCGTAAGTTGGAGAGATGAACCAACTTTATAAAATAACCCACACTCTGGAGTGCCGAGTAAATAGCGAACGATCCGTTTGACAGTTGCAAGATGAATATGTCGAGGTTGATGCATAAACTGACTCATCAAATTAACTGCATAAGAAATATCTGATCTAGTGATTGCCAAATAAACCAAGCTCCCAACTAGTCGCCTATATGTCGTAGGATTAGAGGGTAGTTGGCCTTCATCTTTTTTGTACTTGACATTAATTTCAAGTGGAGTATCTACTGGAGTTGAGTTCTCGAGTCTAGCCAAAGCAATCAGATCTTTGGTATATTTGTGCTGATTAATAAAAATTCCATTAGCTGACTGATGCACTTTAAGGCCTAGAAAATATGTAAGATTTCCTAGATCCTTCATGTGGAAAGAAGAGTATAAAGAAGCCTGTAGTTGTTAAATGCCTACTGTATCTATACCACCGATGATGATGTCGTCCACATATGCAAGGAGAATGGTGATACCAGTTTCACGACGACGAAGAAACATAGAAGGATCATTGGTACTCTGATTAAAGCCAAATTGATGAAGAGTGTTACCAAACTTTTCAAACCAGGCTCGTGGTGCCTGTTTCAGGCCATAAAGAGAGCGTCGTAGATGACACGCATCTGATGCGAAATTGCTTGTGACACCAGGTGGAAGTCTCATATAGACTTCTTCTTTCAAATCACCATGTAAGAAGGCGTTTTTTACATCCATTTGACAAAGAGGCCAAGATTGAGAAGTTGCAATAGCAAGCACTGTATGAACAATTGTCATTTTTGTCACAGGAGCAAAAGTCTCCTCATAATTAATCCTATACTCTTGCCAATTCCCGAGAGCGACCAAACGAGCTCTATATCGATCTAAGGAGCCATCAGATCTAAGTTTAACGGAGTAAATCCATTTGCAACCAATTGGTTTGTGACCGAGAGGACAAGGAACAATATCCCAAGTATGGTTCCTCTCTAAAGCTTCCAATTCTTCCTTCATAGCTTCTTTCCTACATGAGTGTTGTATGGCCTGTGAATATGAGTTGGGAATAGATTTTGATAACAGAGTTGTCATAAGAATCAGGCGATCAGGAGGTTTGGATTAGCGAGTGAATCTTCGAAGAGGAGGAGGAGGCGGTTGTGGACTTGGATTAGGAGATGGAGATGAGTCACGGTTAGGACCTTCTTCTGCACCAATTGTTGTTTCACCTCGTCGCTTATAAACCAGCCCAGGTTTGAACCTCGTGAAAACAGAAGGATTAATACTAAAGTCATGAAGATAAGAAAAAGAGGACGGAGGAGAAGGGATATGAGTATTTAGGTTTGGATTAGCGAGTGAATCTTCGAAGAGGAGGAGGAGGCGGTTGTGGACTTGGATTAGGAGATGGAGATGAGTCACGGTTAGGACCTTCTTCTGCACCAATTGTTATTTCACCTCGTCGCTTATAAACCAGCCCAGGTTTGAACCTCGTGAAAACAGAAGGATTAATACTAAAGTCATGAAGATAAGAAAAAGAGGACGGAGGAGAAGGGATATGAGTATTTTGAAAGAAATATTGTTTTTCAACAAAGACAACATTATGAGAGGTACGAATGCGGCAGACAAAATGATCATAACACAAAACCTTTTTGATGAGATGCATACCCAAGAAATGCACAACGAGCAGATTAAGCAGTTAATTTGTTTCCATCAGAAGGCAGTCTATTGATAAGATGCACAGCTATGGAAAGTGCTTCCACCCAAAAATGAGAGGGTACTGATGCATCAAGAAGTCGGGTCCGAGTAACATCCAAAAGATGCCTATTTTTCCTCTCTGCTACTCCATTTTGTTGAGGAGTAGATGGACATGGGAAATGATTCCTTCATTTTGGAGATAATTTTGAAATTCATTTTTCATATATTCACCTCCGGAATCGGAAGGAAGAATTTTGATGGATGTGGAAAATTGATTTTTTATGTAAGCCAAAAAACGCTTAAAGGCATCAAAAACTCCAGATTTCGAATGCAAAAAATAAATTCATGTGTGTCGACTATAATCGTTGATGAAGGGAAAAAAATACTTGTGACAAGAATAAGAGGGAAATGGAGCATCCCCCAAAACATCCGTATGAATCAAATCGAAGCATTTTGTAGTAATGTCACCATGAATTGGAAAAGGAAGAGTCCTACTTTTACCCAATTTGCAACTACTACAATCAAATGAGACATCATTGAAAGAAACAGGGTCTTTATTAGAAAACAAACCAGATTTCAACAATAACAATAATCTTTTGGCATTAGGATGCCCCAATTGTGAAAACAAAGATTTATTCCTGGGATAGCTAAACAAGCTTAGAGGAAACAGCCTTCCATATTTAGGTCCCTTCCCGATCACTTCCCCCGACTCTTGATCCTGCACAATACATCCAGATGTAGAAAATGAGACTTTGCAGTTGTTATAAACCAATTGACCAACATATATAAGATTAGAGGTCAAACGTGGTGTATGATAGACATTATATAATGGCAAAGAATGAGGGATATCACCAACTGACTTAATGGAAAGATGTTTTCCATTAGCAGTATGAATTTGCACATTTCCCACATATGGTTTCACATTAGTGAGATGTGTTGAGAAAGAGGTCATGTGATTGGAAGCACCAAAATCAACATACCAAATAGATGAGGAGTTTTTTTACTAGACCAAGAGCAGAAAATGCCGAATGAATCATTTGTTGCGCTACCTCTGGAGTTAAGGAACTAGAAGCAGTAAAAGCTTTAGAAGGCTGCATTGTCGTAGCAGCAGAGGGAGAACCCGCTGCGGTGGTAGCATGAAAAGCCTGGGATGTTCGATTTTGAGGTCGCTTACGACAATCAACAATTAAATGTCCAGACTTCTTATAGTAGTTGCAATTTTTTTTTTTCTTACACTGATTGGCTATATGCCCATATTCCTTACAACTATAACATTGTATTTTGCTCATATCCTTTCCTTTAGCCTGAGCTGCATAAGCTACATCCAGTGAATTAGTGCCAACACCCTTTTGTTCAATTGCAGCTTGAGTCAAACGACGTTGTTCTTCTCAGAGAAGTTCACCAAAGCACATATCCAATGATGGAGAAGAATCTCTAGCCATCAGAATTGAGTGAATAGATTCAAAATCACGTCTCAATTTTATAAGAAACTGATCTCTTTGAGTAATTTCATACACTTTTTGAAGAGATGGTAGCCCCTCAGTTGGGATAGTAGCATAAATTAGTTCCTTATATTTAGCCCAAAGATTCATGAATCCAAAATAATAGTCTTGGATTGACATATTCCCTTGGGAATATTCAGATATGTCCAATTCAAGTTGAAAATGCCTCCGAGAGTTTTCTTGATTGTAAATCTTTTTTAGATAACCCCACATATCTTTAGCATTGAAATAAGGCCGCAAATTGAGTATGATATTAGAATCTACTGATCTTAAAATCCAACTAATTATCTTGGCATCATTAGACTCCCATTTAGCTATGCTAGCATTTTCAGTCCCAATTTTTGGTTTTGGGATTGATCCATCTATGTGTTCCACAATTCTTTCCCTTTAACAAACATACGGAATTGAAACTCTCAAGAAAAATAATTCTTCCCATTCAATTTAATGGGCAAGATTTTTGACTTTTTTGACATTCTAAAAAAACTTCAAAAGAGACTCAAACAAAAGAGAAAAGATGAATGAGAACCTGAGATGATGCTAATTGCAGTTCTTGACTGCAACTCAAACCAAGATTGTCACCAAAAATGTCGCAACTCCTTAGAAACAAGACACCATAGTTTTTAACAAAACTGTGATGTATCTTATCTAAAGAAACTTAGAACATCTTTTGTATCAAGCCAGGCTTTGATACCATGACAAGACAAAGAGAACAAAGAGAATTTCTGGAGAAAACTTGTCTTTCCCTTTGGGAAACTTCTTTTATATAATAATATTGAGTATTCTATACAAGGAATGCTTACAACAATCATATCCCAAGATTTTGGGTATCCACAAATAATATCCCTAACCACAGGCAATTTATAAATCATCTAAATTGGAATGGAATCCCTAATTATAAGCTATCTTACAACTCATCAAATCATCTAATTTTGGTATGTAGATAACCTCCTCTGATACCTCTGATACTTCTAATTGTTCATGTCATTCTTATTTCATCTCCATGTTATTTATACTGCAAATAGTATACTCACTTCTGACATTCAACGTTTCACATCTAAAGATGAGGAGTTAAATTTGTATGCATATGCAGAGGTTATCAAATGCAACGGGAAACTTATTCCTGAAGTGGTTAAGTTTTGGGTTGAACGATATGAGAAGGATCCCAAACCTGCAATAGTTGAACTCTTGATGATGTTGTTTGAGGTAATTTGACATTTTGTTTTAAGAAACTCTTTTGCCACTGTATGTTCTTCAAGATTTCTACACTGAAAGTTCACACCCTAAATTACACATTGCATTCTCCACTTTCATGATGTTAGTGCAATGATGAATCTTATAACTGTACAGGCATGCGGTGCAAAGTATCATTTACAAGGAGATTTTCTGGACGAGACTGATGTTGATGATGTAGTAGTTGCTCTTGTCAATCTGGCTAGGAGAGTATCCTTTTGATACTTGTTTAAATATGTTTACTTTATAGTCCTTTCTTTATTGAATTATATTCTCTCACAATCTAAGAAGCACGGATACGGACATAAGACACAAACGTGATACGACACGGATATGCCGACACTTCAAATTCTAAAAAAAGTTGAACACGGACACGGTGGGAACACAACTAATATAAATATAAATTTTGAAATCCAAAAGGAACTCGAGTTTTTGGTGCGATCGCCTGTGAATTGAGACAGTTATATTTTACTAAAATAGTTTCTCATTTATATATTTATTGAATTAGACAATCATAGAACTTTAATTAATTTATAAATTCTATACTAAAGTTACATGAGTTAGAAGATGTCATTATTCGAATATCAAAAAGAAAATCTTATATTATATATGATATTACTATCCTATCTTGTTATTTTAGTTATGTTTTTGTTCCTTGGAGATTGAACAGTTTGATTTATGTTCATAATATTGTTTTAAGGACCGTCGTATGTTTGTTTTATATAAGACGAAGAGTGTAGGATGTGTTGGTCGAGTGTTTGGAATGTGTGTCCAAATGTCCGAGATGTGTCAGCCAAGTGTCTGAAATAATAAATTTAGTTTTAAACAATAGCCATGGCCATGAAGTGCCGGACACGTGTGTAGGAGTGTCCATGGAGTGTTGGTGTCCGGTCTGGTGTTGGACACGGACACGGCACCTCGTAGAAGTGTCTGTGCTTCTTAGCTCACAATCAATTCATGGAATTGTTGTGCAATGACCAAATGTCCTAAACTTTTTTAGTTTATGTGTCACCATATATTCCTGTAGTTTTGGCTTAACACCACTAAAATCATAGGGCGAAGTCGAAGATTATCAAAATTCGAAAAGGAAGGAGTTCAAGAATTTCAAAGATAACCTTGTTTCTTTCTGGGACAATTTGGTCTCTGAGTGTCGAAATGGACCGTTATTTGATCAGGTCTTGTTTGACAAATGCATGGATTATATAATTGCACTGTCCTGGTTAGTGTTAATTATTAATAACTTCTCAAAATATTTAAATTTTTTTGAAGTAGTTTCATCTGACTAATCTGCTTTATGATTCCAAATCTTCCAGTACTCCTCCAAGAGTTTATCGTCAGGTTGCTTCATTGACGGGACTCCAGCTTGTCACATCCTTCATAAATGTTGCTAAAATGCTTGGTGCACAGCGAGAAACTACCCAGCGACAGTTAAATGCTGAAATAAGGAAACAAAGTGAGGGACCACGTGTGGAATCACTAAATAAAAGATTGTCGACAACTCATGAAAAGATAACAGTGATTGAGGAGACGATGCGCAAAATATTTACCGGGTAGGATTTTCTCACTTAATATTATTTTATCAAAAATTAAGTAAAGAAATTCTTAGTGGAGAAAGTTTCTCTCCTCAATTTTAAATTTATTTTTCCCATTTCATTATTATAATTTAATAGCTTTAAACTTATCTGACATATTGTTTGTTGAAGGTTATTTGTGCATCGCTACCGAGACATTGATCCTGAAATTCGAATGTCATGTATAGAGTCGCTTGGTGTGTGGATTCTTTCATACCCATCATTGTTCTTACAGGATCTCTATTTAAAGTATCTCGGATGGACGCTGAATGACAAAGTGAGTTGTAAATTTAAAATGAGTTTTTATTTTAATTTGCATTTTTTGTACTGCTCAAGTGCTAGAAATCCGCTAACTCTCTCTCTTGTTTATGAAGAGTGCTGGAGTGAGAAAAGCTTCCATCCTTGCATTGCAAAGTCTTTATGAGGTGGATGATAATGTGCCATCTCTCGGTCTTTTTACCGAAAGATTTTCTAACAGGATGATTGAGCTTGCCGATGACATTGATATTTCTGTGGCTGTATGTGCTGTAGGACTTGTAAAACAACTGCTCAGGTATGTACTAGTTCTTAACTTTAATAATAATGATAATATTAATAATAATATATTTTGCATTTTAAATAATTCCCGGTGACTGTTAATTCTAAAACTTGTGCATGATAATGGTCCTTGTGGTACCTTGCAGACATCAGCTTCTACCTGATGAGGACTTAGGTCCTCTATACGATTTACTGATTGATGATCCACCAGATATCAGGCGTGCCATTGGGTCACTAGTATATGATCACTTGATTGCCCAAAAATTTAATAGCTCCCAATCTCGGTCAAGAGGTTTCTTCTGACTCTGTTGCACCATGTGTGCTCTATGATTTCTCAAGTTAGACACTCATGTTCATGAAATTCTCATTTCAGGTGATGATACTGATTCTTCGGATGTTCATCTTGGTCGAATGCTGCAAATACTAAGAGAATTTTCAAGAGATCCAATTCTAAGTACCTATGTCATTGATGATGTGTGGGAGTACATGGGTGCCATGAAAGTATGTTGTTATAGCTTCTTGAATGTTAGGGCTGCAACTTGGGCTGGATGAAAATATCCCAGTTCAATCCCAATCTAATCAAGTAGGAAAATAAGGCTGGGCTTGGGGTTAAGAAATACTTTCTGTCCTTAGCTTAGGCTGCATAGGACTTCAAGCATTGGGCAAACTGAACCCGTTCTAAATTTCTAATGTATGCGTATACAATTTCCAACTGATATAATTATGTTTATTTTTGAATATATCTATTACAACATTAACGATTGTTAGGTAGATAAAGGCTCTATCTTTCTGGTTTTTGTATTTCTTTTACACCAATAATGCTATTTTTGTTTTGCAACTGGATTTTTAAAAGTTTTCTTTATTTTTCAGTTGGTAAAAGTTTACTCAGCTTCATTTTATAATTTACATTCTAAAAAAGAAATATAAAAAGAACTTGTGGGATATATGTGAAAGGTACTTGATTCCACCTTGAACTCAAATAGGCTTGATTCTGTCCAGACTATTTATATTACTACAGAAGAAAAGGAAAAGAAAAATCTCATGTTCAAGTTGAGTGACCAGTAATTAATGGGGGAGGGCTGGGCTATGGTGTCTTAGTTTAAGTCTCAGGATTGAGCCGGGTTTTTTTCTTCGAATCTGACACTTGTTGCAGCCCCATCACATTAATCTGAAAATTTCTTAGTTCTGGGTAATGTTTTCATTCAGATAAGATATTACACTCAGTAATAGAAACAGTGAAAGGAGAGGAGGAAATAGGACAGAATAGTTTTAACTTCTATTTTCGTTGCTTTTGTTTTGTGATGGGTGTTAATATTTCCTTGACAGGATTGGAAGTGTATTATGTCTATGCTTCTTGATTCCAATCCGATGATTGAGCTTACAGACGATGATTCAACGAATTTAATTAGACTTCTTTGTGCATCTGTCAAAAAGGCAGTGGGTGAAAGAATTGTTCCTGCTTCTGACAATCGAAAACAGTATTACAGTAAAGCTCAAAGGGTTAGTATGTGCTCAATTTATTACCTTCTTTTCCCCCAATTTGACCAAAATGTTCCTTTTAGTTGCAATATAATATTTATGAATTGTTGCTTCTAATTTTACCTTTCCTATACTGATGACTTGATATGCCTCGTTAGATGAAGCTTCAGATAGTGTTTATGAATTAATTGAAGTCGTGAAATCTCATCTTATACATCAAGTGTTGGTCTGAGTTTGATTTCTTTCTTGGAAAATTTCTTCACGTAAGTGGAGTTCTTTTCTGTCCTTCAAATCGATAATTGACCACTTCTCATGCTAGATATTTTGTCTGGAAATTTTAGATGCACAATGCCCAGTCAGATTTTGCATTGCCTTGATTTAACATCAGGGTGCTTCGGGCTGATTTGAACTAGTTCCAGCCAAGAGCCAAATGGGTCAGTTTTTTAACTGGAGAATTAGTTAGTCGAAAAACTACCAAATTGACCCAAGAGGAGTCTGGTTGTTTCAGGTTTGGTTTTGATTTGATCTGATTTGGGTAAAAGGTTAAAGAGAAACAAAAGAGTTATAGAAGAAGAAAAAATGGTGGCCTTAGTCTGAGCCTCTGAAGTTTTGTTAGATTTAGCCTTATAATAAATGATGATGCTTAATTCCCTTTGACAGGACCCCAACTTTAGATCTGTATGTGCAAGGAAACCTTATATTGGTCAGTGGGTTAAAGAGGAGCCCTATGTTTGCATTGGAACCCTAATTGAAGCTTAAATATTTTTGGGCTTTGAGAGGAACTTCCATTGGCATTGAACCTTAATTTTTGTTAATAAATTAAAGACTTTTGCTATTGTTTTCCTGTAAGTGTAGCAGGGCCTACACTGGCAAGTCACAAGAATATATGGCGGTGCCATTGTATAATCTCAATATCCTTAGGTATGTGTCATCTTATGCTTAGGATTGGTTTTCTGGCCCGCCATTGTAATCTCGATATCCTTAGGTATGTGCCATCTTACGCTTGGAGTTGGTTCTTTGTCTGGGTCTAGGGATTACAAAAAAGCTACAGATTCGATATATTGACTAGGCTGGCCAAAGCCTGACAGACTTCCGTCTGGATCTAGACTGGCACTGGTTTAACTAAACAATGGAGGGCCTAGGTCCAAGTCTTGAAGCCCCACCCAACTGTGAAGCCTGCATCTGTAGGTCCAGTCAGCTTCATAATAGCTTGGTGTAATGGGCCGGGTACTTCGCGATTCAACCCAAAGGCTTAAGCTTTTAGGTGGGGCTAACACCCCGCCCATTTATACCCATTTACTTCCCCATCCGGATCCAATGTGGGACAAGTCCTCCTTATAACATTCTCTCTCACCCGCACTCGCAACGCCCTCGTTGTGGTCGGACCACCCTATCTGCCTACCTGGGGGACTCACCTAGACGCCTCCGGGCCGGTTGCTTGGCATGGCACCGGATCTCTGTTAGGCGGGGCTAACACCAAGCCCATATATACCCATTTACTTCCTCATCTGGATCTGATGTGGGACAAGTCCTTGTAACATTTGGCCACTTGTTATATTTTGAATATTTTATTGAATTCAATTTTTTTGGTATGCAAGTCAGCACACCCATTTGTAGTACAATTTTTTTGCCTCGTTTGAGGATTTGAACCTTAGAAGTCTAGAGTTCAAACCTCAGACTTTATAGTACAATTCATTTAATTGGAAAAAATCAAACGAGGCAAACCCGGACTGGTCTAGTAGGTCAAAGCCTACCTGGCTGTTCCTTGGGTTTGAGTTACGGTTCGTTGACATGGTTAAAACCTGTTGGGGCCTGGACGTGGACCTCAAATATTCTGCTGGACGTCCCATTTAAAACAGTTTTCGAGTTACCTGAGCTAGTAACCTAGTGCCGAACCATTTATGATCGATTCTATATATTGTACTTTGTAGAATAATATTTTTATGTTGGCAAATTCTGTTCCGAAGTTTTGGTTGCTAGGGTGTAAACAAATGTTAAGTCTACGCTGGACACTTTGTTAAGATTTGTTCGTGAAGATTGAGATATGGAGACAGAAGCTACTTCAGAATATCTTTACAAGTTATTCCATGATGCTCAGTCACTATAGGTGTAAGAAGGACCTTAGAGACCTCAGGATCTAGGTCAGTAATGGACTTGGATGGATTGGACTTACCTGGACTTCAGGTTGGTACTTTATTGAATGATGAAGAACGGTTCTTGTAGGAAAATAAATGAGTTGGAAATAGTGGTAAATTATATTACTAGTAGGTTTAGTTGTACCGGTACTTGTTTCTGTTTTAATTTATTTTGGACACACTGCCCGTGTACCGGTGGAATATTTTGTTGCACCGGGACAATGTGATACCGAAGCTTGTTTTTCTCAAGGATTTTAATTCTGTTTGGACTCTAATTTGTGAATTGGCTTAGGAGCTATAAATTCATGTTTCTTGGGATATTTTAGTGTGCAAAAATGCAGAGATTTGAGAGCAAACTTATAGTTTCGAAAACCCTAGTTTTTCCATGTTTTAGAGTGATTTCATCTTTCAGAATTAGGAAATTTAATACATACCCCATGTATGATTGTGATTGAGTTGAGAGCACAGCGCTTTTGTGATTTTGATATACTTCAACCGGAGTTCATCTTCAAGCTTACTCATCTATGTTTTTCTTTTGAGGAGTTTTGGATCACTACGAAGGGAGTTGATTGTTGGTTGACCAATCGTGTTCTATGCCAACGGCTTGTTTGCAAGATTGTGGGAGTGATTCTGAAGTCTGTAACACCTGGGCTTGAGAGTGATCAATTTGGTAACCAGGAATGAGTCTGATACGGTCAACAACCAAGTTTTGGTAAAGGTGGTCTGAGAATAACTTTGAGTCAGAGTTGGTGTAACTTTGCTTCGAGATAGTAAATTGCTTTCTTCTGAACTACATTCTTGTAGTTTTTCATCGCTGAGGTTTTTCACGTAAAAAATCTGGTGTTTTTTTTTTTTTTTTTACTTGCTTTCACATTATTGTTTGTGTGGGATTGGTACGCATCTTAATTGCTAATTAACTCAGAAAATTTAATCAGTCACAAAATTAAGCAAGAACACCTATTCACCCGCTTATAGGTCTATAGGAGCCATCAGATAACACTAACTCAACTAACCACTTCCGCATAATGCAAACACAATACTGAACCGAATATGGTTTTAAACTACACCTAACCAACCCCATAAAGCACAGGTTGGTGGTTGGTTGATACTTCAGCTTTGACTGAACCATATTGCATCCCTACATGTAGCTTGTTTTCTTTGGATTTAATGGTTGCCTAATGTTCACTGAAGAAAGATTTAAGTGCTATAACTAAGAAAAAAAAAAGATTGACCTGCTATGTCTGTTACAATTTTCAGGAAATGGTTGAAAGTAATAGGCGGGATGTAACTATTGCCATGATGAAGAACTATCCACAGCTCCTACGCAAATACATGGCTGACAAAGCAAAAGTACATTCTCTAGTTGAGATTATTGTTTATATGGACCTTGAACTTTATTCTTTGAAGAGACAGGAGCAGGTTGGTAATGAACTTTCCCAATGCAAGTTATTTAATATGGTATACTGCCTAGACATAAAGAGATGCTCCTCTTTTCTTGCCTTTTCAGAATTTCAGAACTGTTCTTCAGCTCATGAAAGAGGCATTTTTTAAACATGGTGAGAAGGATGCTCTGAGGTCTTGTGTGAAGGCTTTCAGTTTCTGTTCCAGTGAGAGTAAAGGAGAGTTACAAGATTTTGCCCAAAGTAAATTGAAGGAACTTGAGGATGAGCTTATTGCTAAGCTTAAATCTGCAATAAAAGATGTAGAGGTATATATGTCTGCAAGTTGCAGCTGCTCTTTTCTTTGGGTAAGGGGATAAAATTTGATATTTTTTAAATCTTGCAGGATACTGATGATGAATACTTGCTTCTAGTAAATTTGAAAAGGCTGTACGAACTTCAATTGTCAAGATCTGTATCTATGGAAAGCTTATTTGAAGACTTCTCTATGATTCTTGAAAGTTTTAGAAACATGCATGATGAGGTGTGTATTAAACAATCTGCAAGACACGTGTTTTTTGTTTCTTTCTGCTTGCATATGATATACTTGTTAATGGTCGTTCAGGTTGTCAGCTTTCTGCTTCTCAACATGTATTTACATGTTGCCTGGTGCTTGCACTCTGTTATCAACAGCGAAACTGTGTCTGAAGCATCATTATCTTCCCTATTTTCAAAGCGCACAACCTTGTTCAAGCAACTTGAGTACTTCCTGCAAACCCCTTCTGAAATTCAGGGAGAGGGTGAATGTGGAAATCAGCTAGCGTGCAGGGTAGGCATTCATTGCACTGATTTATTAAATTCTGCATCGCTAGATATATGCAGAATGAACTTTCTTCTGAACTTTTTTGGAAATTTCTAATGGAATCTATTTTTGTGCTTAGGTTTGTACTATATTTGCAGAAGTCTGGTTTTTGTTCAGAAGTACAAATTTTGCCTCAACGAAACTGGAAAGTTTAGGATATTGTCCCGATGAGTCTATTCTGCAAAAGTTTTGGAAACTCTGTGAAAAACAGTTCAATGTTTCAGGTGTGATTAATTCCCTTGTTGCTCTATTAGCTAAAATTATGTGATGTCTTGATTGGATATGCGAAGCGAAAATTTAAACCACCGGTCAGATAGTTGCTCAAAAGATGCTTAACGTCAACGATGTGTTTCTAATAATGCGGCCTAAACTGGCAACTTCCCCCATCATAATCATCCTTGCCTATATCCCACATTGGGGTTGGCCACATAAATTCTCTTTTTCCATTCTTTCCTTTTAACTATTATACACCATGTCTTCTCTTAGGTTTGAGTTTTTAAAGTCGTTTTTAGTTACTTCACCCCACGTAAGCTTTGGTCGGCCTCGTTGTCGCTTATCTTCTAAAACAAACAACTCTTCCTGTTTTAGTAGGTGCATCATTGGGTCTACGTTGAATATTACCACACCACCTAAGTCTGTTTTCCCTAATTTTATAATTTATAGGTGCTATACCTATTGTTCTCCTCACACGTTCATTATTTATCTAATTTCTTATCATCCAACGTAGCATCCTGACTTCCCCCATATTTGCCATATTTATAAAGAAGTGTTGTATGATAAATGTTAACAACCATCTACTCCAAAAGCTTAAGCTGTTAGAGAGGGTGTAACTTTAATATTTAAATTCTTCAACACACCCCCTCATGTGGCCTTCTTTTGGTCTAACACGTGTTTTTCAATTTTTAATTAGGGTGACGGTGAAGTTTGAACTCGAGACTTTTTGGCTCTGATACCATGTTAACAACCATCTACTCAAAAAGTTTAAGCTGTTAGAGAGGATGGAACTTTAATATTTAAATCCTTCAACAAGAAATAAATGGTATATACACCCATCCACTTTTCTCAGGGTTGGCGAATATAGTTATTGGATACAATAATGTGGGAGTAGGAATGCCAACATAAACTCTGGATATCTTTGTCAATGTTTAGTTGCTTTTGTCATTATCTTTGCATATCATTATTCAAAGAATATACCTGTTGAGATTAATTTTTTTGGGTTCCACAAATATTTTCTTTAATGACTGTATTAGAGTTTAGAACATGATGCACACTTATTTATAATGCCGTGCATCACATCAAATTCTTCTCTTTACATAACTACAGATGAGACAGAAGATGAAGACATTAACAAAGAGTATGTTGAGGAGACAAACCGGGATGCTGTCATGATTGCTGCTGCTAAGCTGGTTGCTAATGATGTAGTTCCTAAGGTAAGTCTACATTTGTCTTATATTAAAAGTTTGGGAAGTGTCACTCTTTACCTAGGCAGAAACTTTTTGAGAATTCTTTATAACAAAAAAGCATGATCACACCAATGGACCAGTGGCCTAGCGGTATCAGTTTATGACTTCCCAAGGGGAGGTCAAGGGTTCAAGCCTCAGTGGAGGCATGTGTGTGTGAGTACCAACTATGAAAAAAAAAAAAAAGGCATGATCACAAGCTCTGGTTGAGAATGGTTGTATAGTAAAAATTATGATCACTGTTTACCTTAGCAGAAACTTTTTAAGAATTCTTTATTGTAAAAAATTATGATCCCATACTCTGGTTGAGAATGGTTGTATAGGAGACTGAACCTGGCAGATAGTTGTTCACTAGCCAAATCTCATAATCAGACATGTTCCTACTTCAAAATATGCATTCTAGATTTGCATATTATATCTTCTATAGCAATTAGTTGCTAAATTGTCTTGTTTAATGTCAATTGTAAATGCAGGAGTATCTTGGTCCAGAAATCATTTCGCATTTTGTGATGCATGGAACTAGTGTGGCTGAGATTGTTAAGCATTTGATAGCTGTTCTAAAGAAAAAAGACGATGACGTCTCTAATTTATTTCTGGAATCGTTGAAACGGGTAAACCTCATCTGGTTAACAATGCTTACTTTTTGTGCTCCTTTATACCTACAAATGTATAGTACTAATAAAGTGACACCATTTTCTACATCTTGCACTTGGGTCATTTCCTTCACATGATGCTAATGCAAATAGATCTTCAGAGAAGGCAATATATCTGTATGAACTATAGCTTCCATTTTATTTGGCTAACACCCAGCTCAGAAAGATTTGGCTAATACCTTTAGTTTGGTGCTTTGTTCACGATTCCAAAGATCTATATTGATGTTGAGATTTTACTCGTGTATGTGTGTTGAGGCTTGTTATTCATAGTCAGATAGCATGATGTGGTGATATGAATGGGAGTATATATATACCCGAGAGAATATATACCAATGGATGTGCCATGGGTTGAGATTTACTTTAAGATAGAAGGTAAAGTTGTAGAGAATATGTTCAGGTCCTTCAGGATATCGTGACATAGTGATATATGTTTTGCTCTTTTTTTATGCCAGTGAATAATTACGAACTCCTTTATTGGGTTTGACTAGGCCTACTATCGGTATGTGGTTGGACTTTCCATAAGCAACGATGAATCCTTGGCAGGCAAGTTTTTACAAGAATGTAAAGATCTGGCTGCTCGGCTTTCTGGAACATTTGTGGGTGCTGCTCGAAACAAGCATAGATCGGAAATTTTGAAAATTGTCAAGGATGGTATCGAGTATGCTTTTGTCAATACTCCAATGCAGCTGTCTTTCTTGGATGGTGCTGTGCTCCATTTTGTATCCAAGCTTCCTACACCTGATATCCTGGACATGTAAGATTTTCCCTTTAACTTTGTGTAATTGTTATAATTTATGCTTTCCGAGAGCCAAGTGCTAATACGTGCTTTGCAATTAGTCTAAAGGATGTTCAAAAACGAACGGAGAATGTCAACACAGATGAAGATCCCAGTGGCTGGCGCCCTTATTACACATTCGTAGACACCCTACGCGAGAAGTATGCAAAAAATGAAGGTTTTCAAGGTTCCATCATATTTTTCCTTTTATTATTATTATTTTTTATTTGGGTCAATAAGTGGTAATTTATCAGGCATTTTCTTTGGTCTCGTTTATTCGACTTCTATTTCCCTCCTCCCTCCCTCCTTCTCTCTTTTATTTTGTCTTTCCCTTTCCCTTTATTCTTTTCATTCACTTTTGATTCTATCTCAATGGAAATTATATCCTGGCAGAAAGTTGTTATAAGCTGCCTTTTCTTTTTCCTCTTAACAGAGTAGTAAAATATATTAAATCAAACAAGCATTTCCAAGCCCCAACTTTCCAGCATTTATAAGATCAAGGCAGATTGTTTGCAACCTTTTATTCATTATGAAGAGAAACACTTCCATCACATCATTTTTTTTTCATTTATCCCATTTTTTGTTTCACTTTATTTTCTTTTTTCTTTGGAGTGTCTTTGTTATTTCATTTTTAGGAATGGGGGCTGGCTTTTTATCTCTTGTAGATCTGTCCTTACATAACAACTAACACAATGAGAAGATAGATCTGAATTAAAGCATTTTCCGTCCTAGGATGCTCACAATATTGATTATGTTTTCTTTTTAAATATAAATTCCCATGCTTTCTGACTTTAATTTCACAGGGTAGGAACATCTAAAAATTGTCAAATGTTAATATATATATATATATATATATATATATATATATATGTATATATATTATGTTTTAGTATTTTTTATTTCTTCTTTGTGTGCACCTAATGATTGGCCAAAATGTACATTTCAGATTGTATATTTGTGAGATGACTCATTGTTAATGTTGGTTTGAGTTGCAGCTGAGAAAGATGGGGTGTCTGTAAGACGCCGAGGTCGTCCCCGAAAGAGGCAGAATTTACAGGGAAAGAAACTCTTTGATGAGCACAGTTCAAGTGAAGAAGAGGATTCAATCAGCGCATCTGACCAGGATGCTCAAGATGAAGAACAGCAAGAAGAGGTGGAAGAGGATGCTCCTTTGATACAATCACTGAGATCATCAGCTAAGCTTAGGTCATTGAAAGTTTCAAGAGAGGAAAACAGAGGCCAGACAAGAACAACGGATTCTGGACAAGCTGCAGAGAATTTATCTGGTTCTAGAATATCAGGTGTGTATTATTATTACTCTATTTAATGTTTGACTTAGTTTCTGATTGTTTGTTTAAGATGAAGACTGTACAATGTTTCAGTAATTCTGCTTAAATCTGTCAATTGTTAATGCAGTACCTCTTTCACTTCAACTCTTGATTTAGCAATTTATATGGTCCTAGTTTCTGATTCTTTTGTTAAGATGAAGACTCTGTACAATGTTTCAGTAGTTCAGCTTGATCTGTCACTTGTTTGTCTTCAACCAGCTTTTTCTTGTGATATTAGCTGATTTGATTATCTGGAAGTTGTTGACTTCTCCAACCAAAATTGTTGTATGTTCTGAGGATGCCCTAATTTTGAAGCAGCAGTGTAGAAGGTCCTCATTTGAGTCGGTTTTTATTTGTTCGTCATGGATGGAAATGTGATTGTAGTTTATATTTTCCAGTTGAATCTTTGTGGATGCCATTTCAATGGCAAGGTTTATCCAGGAGAGATTAACCTCAGTGCTTGAACCAAATCCAATCCAATTAGTTGGATCTGTTGAGTGTTCTTTGATCTGTTGATCCTTAACTATTTAATCAGACTGATCCAATTACTAAGTGGATAACACATGATCAAAGGTGGCCTAGTCTGTTAAGGATCCGATTTCTGATTAGAAATATTATACGTGTCACATAAATCTCATATTCCTAGTGGTCAACATACTAACATAGCATGTATATATACTTGGGGGCTGGCTGGTTTCTTAAATCAGTTTTATCGTCATTTCTACCTCTCGGCCTCTCTTGTAATGCCAGCCTCGTACACTCTACAATTCAATGCGTGTTCACTCCTGCTCTCCTCTCTAACAATTAGCCTAGTTGCTCCATCTCCACCAGCGCCATCCCTGGGGGCACTTAGTGTAGTGGTGGTGTAGTTGAGGACTTCTTTTGATTGGATGGTTGAAGACTTCTTGTAGAAGTGTGATATTAAAGTCTCCAGTGGCTTTAATGAATTTTGGTTAAGATTCCCCTTGTGCAACTCTGTATTCTTTGTTCTTCTCTTTTAAGAATTTTGTGGATATGCATATGTTACAAAATGTTTTACATTGTGTAGGAACATCAAGCTAGTGGATGCTAACTTTATCGTGCGTGTTTAAGTTGCTGAGCGAGGCATAAATTTTGCAATGATCGATCCCTCGCAAGTGTAGAACTTGTCTCCAGCTTGAAAGGGTTGATTGGGGGCCTGATGAAGCCAAGAAAATACCGTGTAAATTGTGGGTGAAGGTTTTGAATGACAGCAGTAGGAAGTGCCTTGGCATGATATTTACTTCTCGGCCACGTAATTTGTTAGTAATATACAAGTTGTTCCACAGATGCTTCCCTTGGACTTTTCGGTGTATATACTTCACTTCGTAAATTCGCATTTGCAACCATCTTCATAATACTTGTATAATTTACCCGTCTTAAGTTCAAATAGTTAATAAATAGTCAAATTATCCTTTCAGAACAAGTTTATCCTACAATTTAATTACCTGCTAAAAAAATCCTTTCATTTAATCATCTTTTGAAAGGCATGATCCTCATGCTGGAGGATAAGTGGGAGTTTGTAACATGATATAAAATGGAAAATGTCTTGTGGTTCTTGCAATCATTTCTACAGGTGCTTGTTTCCTTGCCGGGAACCCGGTGTTCGGGAACAGAAATTAGGTCAAATCAAACCAACTTGACGCCACCACATCATATGTTGGGTAGATTTTAAAGTACAGAAATTTTTACATGGTTCTGGCCTATCACAAGAAGCCATGTTCGCATGTGTCAGTTTTTTTTTTTTCCTGCTTATGTGGCTGCATGTGACTGGCCGGACCGTGTAGTGGGAACCGAATTTCTCCTAAAGTTACTCCAATGAATGTTTAGAATATAAATCCTAGACCAAACCTATGCATTGGAATTTTGAAACAAATAAAGCTTACCCCTACTGGTTCCAAATTTGGAAAACTGAGAACATACTCTTAATGCAATCACATTACGCATATTGGGAAGGTTTTTGTAAAGTTGCACTCAAATGAATGTTAAAAATATAAATCACAGACTAGAATGTAACACGAATAAACATTCCACTACTAATTCAATTCGTTTATAAACCCTTTTCCAGGAAAAGGAGAAACAAATATAAGTCGAGGAATAATCATCTTATCACTCAAGACTCAAACGCATTAATCCATACAACTTCAATTTTCTAAAACTATCTATACCTGTTTGAGAGCATCAATATTATGTGCAACACTGAGTGGGCAGAGAAAACATGTAAAGGAGAACTAATAGTTCATCAGTCCTCAGTCTCAGGTTTATTATGGGAGATTGCGACGTCATTAAATAAGAATTAGTAGAGAAAGGACCAAAAATGTGATCATTTGAGTCTTCATTCTGGAAACAGTTATGGCAGATGGACACTACAGTCAACAGATCGAAAAAGGAGGGATTAGCATCCTGCATCACCGAGGAGACAACTGCTGAAATTCTGGGACTGCATCTGTTCCATGCAAACACTATGCCAAGCAACCCTATCCCAATGATTCCTGCACTTACTCCAGGCAGCTTTAAAATTAAACTGACCATGCTTCCAAACCAGCTTGTCAACTATTGACGACAATAGTTTAATGAGCAATCTTATCGGAATGTGTATCTTAGGGGAAAAGCATGTGAATGATGATGGTCCAAACACAGGTGATGCTATTAGAGCCTGCATACCATGCCCCCTTCCAACAAAATAGATTGAGGATATTTTAAAAACTCCCACAACCTTGCAAGATCAGCAACAAAAAAATTATTATCTTCTAAACATAGCGAAACACATTCTAAACCTTACTCAACATAAAATTCAAAACTTTAGGGTGAAACACATTCTAACCCTCAACGCATCCTAAACCTCCATAACATCTGTATTAAAATCAAATATTTACAGAGACAGGGTGAAACACGTTCTACACCTCCAGAACATCTTCACTTGGGCCATTCTGCGTCATGAATTCATACATTTGTTGTAACGTTCTGTCCATGACCTTCAGCCGGTCAAGTGACAGAAGATTGTGTTGCTGAACTGCTTCCATGTGACTATTCATGGTTTGATGTAATTGCTTTCTCTAACTGATCATCATGCTTGTCTATTTCTGAGTCCCTTTTCATCAGTGCTTTATATGGAAAGACATGAGAGCATAAAGCAGACCCATTAAGAGTCAGAGGCGGGGGGATTTCAGGTTAATACTGGCACACATGAATTGTGCCAGTGCCCCATGAGACGAGCAATTGAATGTAAGGTCAATTCGTCTCGCTCTTGTGCCACTGACACTTGACAGCACTGGAAAAGTCTACAGCGGTGATTATCAGATTTATACCGCAAAAGACGTCAGCCATGATATTCACTAGTCGTCGATTGATATGCTACTAGGTTTGATGATGATGAGGAGGAGTTCAATGCTTCATTATCACATATTGTGATAAGATATTGTAATGATGAAGTTGTTGCATAAGGATATTAAAATGCCGTGTTAAGGATTGAGCTCTTTCTCATCATTGCCGAACCCCAGCAGCATGTGGAGCTCATTGTCAAACCCCAGCAGCATATCAATCCACGACTGGTGAATATCATGGCTGAAGTCTTTTGAAGTATAAATCTGATAATCACCACTGTAGACTTTTACTGACATTGTTTTCCAGCGCTGTCAAGTGTCAGTGGCACAAGAGCGAGAGCAATCGACCATACATTCGATTGCTCGTCTCATACGGCACTGGCACACAGTTCATATGTGTCGGTATTGACCTGAAATCACCTAGCTGCATACACTTTCAGACCAATTTATGGGTCTGCATTGCGCTCTCATGTCTTTCCGTAATGTATAAAGTACTGACAAAAAGGGACTCAGAATTAGACAATCATGATGATCGGTTAGAGAAAGCAATTCAACAATTACATCAAACCATGAATAGTCACGTGGAAGCAGTTCAGCAACACAATCTTATGTCACTTGACCGGCTGTAGGTCACGGACAGTAGGTCACAACAAATGTATGAATTCATGACGCAGAATAGCCCAAATGAAGATGTTCTGGAGGTTTAGAATGTGTTCACTCTGCCTCTGATTTAAATGAAGATGTTATGGAGGTTTTAGGATGTGTTTCACTGTCTCTGTTAAAATCAAACACTATGTCCCTGTAAATATTTGATTTTAATGACTTATCAAAAAATATATATATATATATATATATAAAATATTTGATTTTAATGAAGATGTTATGGAAGTTTAGGATGTGTTTCACCCTGTCTCTGTGAATATTTCATTAAATGAAGATATTATGGAGGTTTAGAATGTGTTTCACGCTGTAAATATTATATTTTTATGTTGATTAAGGTTTAGAATGTGTTTCACTCGGTTTAGAAGATGTTATTTTTTCTTTGATGCTGATCTTGTAAGATTAAACACTGGTTGCAAAGATGGACTTCTGATATCAGATCCCATACTTCACACGGTAAGACAGAGAAGGAACCTGAAGTGGAAGAGGCCGTGGTATTAACACTGATCAAACTGCAAGAGCTGTTTTTGTCAAAGAAGCCAAATTGTTCCTGCAACAGGGCCTTGTTTTTAATCTTCTTCAGTTTTACAGTCTAATGAGCTCTAATCTGACCTAACTATCTGTTGTTTAATTAACCACGATGGGCACTTGGTTGAGCACAAATTTAGCAGTGTTATCCAGGCATTTCAAATCTTGAGTGGGTCACTAAGCCAGACCATGATTAGAAATAGACAATAATAATGCAGATAGATAGATAATAAAAGAACAGCCATAGTATAAGTAGAATGTTTGCATAAATCGAAAACATTACACCGCAACAAAAGAGAGAACATTTGGTTGACAACAAAAATAGCATCTTGGGCATTTCTTAATTTGATAGCACAATTTCCTTCATAAAAGAAACAAAAAGAGGAACAACTATTAGATCATGATAAACCTCTCTCATCTTGGAAGTAAATCCAAGCAAACAAACAAGGAAAAAACACTACCCAGTACATAACAGAGAATCTCTTACATTTCATCTCCTTCCAGCAATTCTCAGCAAGGGAGATATTATACCCTGTATCTCTTGCAAGGACTGTTGAATTCTTAGCTCCTCCTCCACGGATCGCTTTAGATTTCTAATATGGCCTTTCAGAACATCAGAAGCTCTAACATCTTCAGCCCTCATTTCAAGAACCTTCTTGGCCAACCCCATCAACAACCGGGCATACCTAGGCATTGTTGTGTACCTTTGCAGAAACTCCAATAACAACCCAAGCTCCTCTGTGTCCAAATTCGAAACACACCTCATCAACTTCTTCCTTGCCACCAACTCCTCCATTACAGCCACAACATTCTCCGGATTCTTTCCTCTTAAGGCAGACACAAGAGCTTCCTTGTGCCTGAACTTCTTCAACAACTTATCATGCTCAGCTAATTTCACCTTTTTCGGCCTCATAATCAAGTAATCACCTTTAGAAGGCTTCTCATTTTGACCCCTATGGAAGTACCGAAAGTACGAAGGCCTTAAAACCCTCTTGTGAGGCTCCTCCACAGAACCCAACCCCACATAGTCCCCCAACTCAGAACCCACATCTTCCTTCACTTTCCTCTTCCCTGCAAATATGGTGCCATTCGAAGTACCGATTACCCTAGTCAAACAATCCGGTGAGAACCCAACCGATAAAAGAGGCGCCGGAAACCTCATTGTATGAGTAACCTTAAACTTTGCATAGTCAAAAACCTTCATATATCCATCCAATGAGACGCTCAAAATCCTATACTCCTGAGCTGATTCACCACTATCCTTCCCAATCTTCCCCACACAAATCGAAGTCACAGTCTTGTTATGACTCTCCATTGAATACAGTAACTTCCCTCCTGCGATCACATCCCAAATTTTCACACAATTCCCACCCGCGGTTGCAATTAGCCCTCCGGAAGGCAAAAAGATTGCGTCTTCGACCGGCTTCCCATGATTGAGCTCCATCACTGAGCTCAAACCCGAAACCCTAACATCCCAAACCCTAACTGTGTGATCATAGGATCCCGTAACGAACATGTCATCGCTAGCGGGGGAGCTGTCGCCGCAGCGAACGTAATCTTTGTGCCCTAGAAGTTCACCGATCCGGGTTTGGGACGCGACGTCCCAGTACTTGACGATGGAGTCATCGCCGCCGGAGAGGAGGTGGAGCTTATCGAGGCGGGGGTATCGGACGAGGTGGACGGGGCGCGAGTGACCGCGGAGTTGACGAAGAGGGGAGCGGGTCTTGATGTCGAAGACCTGGACAAGGCCGGAGAGGGATCCGGCGGCAAGGAGGCGGCCGTCGGAGCGGAAGGAGGCGGAGGTGGCGGTATCGGAGAAGGCGGAGATGGTGGATTTGGGCTCGAGGGTTTGGGCGGAGAAGATGGTGACGGTGGCGGAGTGGGTGGCGGCGAAATCATGAGGAGCTGTCGGGGAGAAGGAGAGAGAGGTGATGGAGGAGATTAGGGTTTGGATGGGTTGTGGCTTGAATGATTTCCAGTACTTTGATTCTGGAGAAATTGAGGATTTTGAGGAAGTGGGTTTCAGTTTTCGTGTTACAGGGAAGAGTTTGGCTATGCCGCCGCCTCCTAACTGTGACTGGTCCTGCTGATTCATCTTGGCAATCAATTGGTCCGCCATTGAAGGAGCTGAGGGAAGTGTGAGGGTTTAGGGTTTAGGGTTTTGGTATTGTTTGGATTGTAGTTGCCTAATGGCTACTACTGTATGATGTGTGCTGGGTACAGAAGATGGGTCGGGCCTTTCGGGTTTAGTCCCCCTCTCTCACACTGACACGCGCGCGCCTGCACACGTGTATATTCAACAATATTCTTACATATGGCCCTTTTGTAATATTACACAATATTACAAAACAGTTGTGTCGTTGTAAGAATGTTTTGGGTAGGATTCGACAAAGTAACGAAAATTTGATGTGGGAAATTCGAAAACAAAAATATGTAAACGAAATTTTGATGTGGGAATTTCAAAAACAAAAACATACAAACATGTTTGATAACGTTTTGGGTTTTACTAAATTCGAAAACAAAATACTTTCGGCATCTCATTTTGTTGTCAAAAATTCTGAATCAATAACATGAAAATATGTTTGGTAAATATTGTTTTGTTTATATTTTTAAAAATTAAATATATATTGATATAATTATTTAGTTTATATCTAATAGTTCATTTTTTTATGGTTTGAGAAATTTTGTACACAACAATTTTTTTTTTTTTTTCATTAACACTTGGATGAAAATTGGATGTAATACAAATATTAAAAAGTGTCTAACAATTTGTTTTTATATGTTGAAGGGTATAAAGATATTCAAGTACCATATTCATCTCGACAAACATGACTTTATTGAATACTATTGAAACCGACGACATGTCGTCGCTGTTTGAACCAATGGCGCAAACTTCATGAACAATTTAGCAGTCCGAAACTTATCACTTAATCTCCATCAGAATATCCAATTATGTCACACTTTCTCCGATCAAAGCATTGGCATGAGAACTCTAGGTCATGGAGTCGCACGACTCGCATCTCCTTGTAGAAGTTCTAGTGGCAATGTTTCGATACACGAGAAAGTGTGTGACATAATTGGATAGTATGATGGAGTAAACAATGGGAAACCTAATGGTGTTTCAGCCTTTCAGGTGGTGGAAGAGGCTGAAAAGGTGAAAGATCCACTACTCAAAGGTGGGGCTTTTAAATTTGAATTCTCTACTTTCAAATTCCACAACCTAGGGTTAGGGTTTTTAGGCATATGAAAAGGACCAACCGAATGCACTATGGGCTTAACTGGCCTTTTGATGTAATTTTGTTTCCTCTTCTTCTTAGGATTAATAAAAATAATAGGTGGGGCTTTTAAATTTGAATTCTCTCCTTTCAAATTATTATTATTATTTTTTTTTCAGAAGATAAGTTACATCTCTACTTTCAAATTCCACAACCTAGGGTTGGGGTTTTTAGGCACAAAAAAGGACCAACCGAATGCACTTAGGATTTATATGTAAAAATCCCATAATAATATTTGTTGGGTTGGGAAAAAAGAGAATTGTACAAATAAATCCAATATTGGATGCAAAAAAAATTTCTTTAGTATTTTTTTTTTTATAAAAAAAACATTAACGTGGATAATCCGTAATTCACTAATGCATTGAATGCCACACCTTCATTGGCAAATTGAATATTGAGTTAATTTATAACTTTTGGCAAGTTGCTAATTCGAGCATATGGAGTCACCTGGATCCCCTTGAAACAAATTTACCTTCTCTTGATCCGGCTGCGAGTCATATTTTCACTGTCAACAAGAATAATATATCCAAGACATGAATCACGTAGACTTATTTCATTTTCTTTTTCAAAAATTAATCATGATTCGGATTCAGTCACCACATCTCAGGTTCAAGTGTTAGTGATCAACAATTTAGACGAGAATATGTCACTGACTGTCCATTGTCAGTCACAAGATAGAGATCTTGGCATTGATCAGAACCACCCATTCGGAACCAGTTATCACTGAACTGTCGATATTGTAGTTAGGAAATCAGCCTCATACTACTGTGACTTGAGTTCTGCAAATTCGCATGGTAGGTGTGCTTATGATCAGTGTATTTGAAGGGTGGAGTGGATGGGGATGGATTGCATCTCTGCATCAAGAAATCAGATAACAAGAATTCTTTAAATTTCAAAACACGGCTCTTTGACTACTCACAGGAGCCTGTGTGGGGGGCTGTCGGTTTTCACAACAAACAGCACGGCTCATCCAGAAAAGGATTTTATTAAATAGCCTTTCTGCAAGAAGAATTTGCTAAAACCAGTATACCAAGTCCACAATAATGAAAATCCATACTGTGAAAGACTAAAGAAAATATCAGTATGTAATGTGCTATCTAACATACTGATATAAAGAAGAGAGAAGAAAATGGAGACGAGCAGATATATGTCTTATACGAGTTTCATAATCAGACCCCAAGTATAAAGAAGAGAGAATAAAATGGAGACGCGCAGATATATGTCTTCAACAGAAGCACCCATTTCAGATATATAACAAGGAGGGGAAAAAGTCAGATATATAGTTGACTGTTCTATAATGATCAAATTAGTGTAAAAAGAACCAAGTAAATCTCCTAATCCTTTTAAGGCGACGGGAGGAGATCAAGGTAAAAAGTGTGCGAGTAATTTCTCAGGAAAAGAAAAAAAAAAAAAAAAAAAAAAAAAACAAAGCAACAGTCAATAGCTTTGTTAAAACGAACAAATGTATATATATGAAGTTACTAATATACACCAAGCTCATGTGTGTACATGAGCAATAACAGTTCAATAAATGCATGAATGCTTGAAGTCATCAAAATTCGTAAACAAAATATTGAAATCCCAGCTTCTACCATGAACTTGATCTAAAAATCAAATAAATGATGAGAGATAGACAACCCAATAACATAATTAGCAGCCACACCAATGAACTGACTGGGGAAATCATGGTGTCCATCACCCTTCACAAAGTAGATTTATATATACACACACACACACATATATATATGTATAAAAAAGATATTTTATATGTAAATACATTGGTGATATTGACCACTACACAAAGAAGATATGTGTAATTTGATTTCTCAATTATATCACAATACACAAACCTATATGACCACTTTTACCTGTACTTTTTTGTTATGGACACTGAGGGAACTCCCCATCACCTCCACTGGATTAATAATACAAATACTATCAAAAGGATTTGGAGTATGCATAAATAAATTGGAAAGCACGATTAACACACCTTGGCTAACAGCAAATACTTACAACATCCTGAAGCTATGTGTACACAAGTGAAGCCGCCTCTTCCAAGACTTGGTTTGGGGGAAGTATGATCAACATGCATTGGCTACCAGCTAACTGTTCTACCATTCTCAAGCTGTGAACAAGTGAACCCTCCTCTTCCAAGACTCGGTATCTTCATAAACACAACACTGCTTACTGTATTATTGTAAAATATGACGGAATTCCTTGTTCATGAACTGGCTCCCATCATGTCGCCTTGTAAATTTGGGATTCCCACTTCAGAAAATGGTATAATATGTAAATCAATCATAAGACTTCAAATATATGCAAGTGAGCTCCGGTCATGGTCTGGCTGTGGGCGACCTCTAGTGGGTGTCGGTGGCCTTTGAATGTTAAGCTCCTGCAGGGACCAAGCCAAGCCAACACAGGTATATTATGAGCCAACCAAACAAATTCTGTGTTTTATGGTTGGATTTGAATCCAGCATATCAAAAGGCCTAGCTGCCCAAAAGAAAATGCAGGCTTATCAACAAATTTTACCTGCATCCATGTGTCTTCTGTGACACGTTCTGGAGATGTCTCAGGTGAATGAAGGGGAGGTGGCAGAGGATGAATCAATTTTGGAACCACAACCAACCCCCTGCCGATTACCAGTATTGCTCCAGCATTGTTGGCAGTCCCTAGATGCTTTAACCAATTAGACTGCAAATGACAGGACTGGGAAAAAAAAAAAAAAAAAAACTCGAACCTGTCATTGCTTACCACAATAGTTGGTTGCCGAAAAAAGAGTGATTAATTGACCCTGAGCAAACCGTTCAAACCCGTCCATAACGCATTCGTGGGCTCTTATGATGAGTTGTAATTTGTTCTTCTTACAGAAATCTGTGACCCGGTCAGGCTGCAAGTAATGGTAATAGATTATGGTCTAATGATAGAACTAAATGCATATGTGAGTGTGGAACTTTTCATGATTAGCAAACAGTGTCCGCAAGTGCGTGCTCATACTGAAATTATTTACTCTACAAAAATGAATTACTGAAAGGGAACATTTATTTTATAGCAAGTATTATAAGAAGGCTGCTGATATTGGCGCTCCAACAAAGTACTCATGCACTCCACTATTATTTGAAAAAAAAAAAAAAAAAAAATTATAAAAAAATCCCTAAACTTGATGCTTTGTTCTTATAATTTTTTTTAATGCCATAATTGTCCTTCATCTTCTCTATTTCACGTTATCTAAATATTCAATCATACAAAATCTCTCTTAGGTTTCTTCCTCTAAAATGCTTTTCATATTATCTCTCTAAAAAACTCTTTACCGTCGAGAATCATAACACCACCTCTGTTCACTGGTCTCTGATCCCCGAACTTTTCTGCGTGATACAACACAGCGGATGCACCTTCACCCAAATCCTGATATACTAATTTGAATTCAAGGTATCAAATAGAATACATAAATACACACACGTGTGTGTGTCCACATGTGTGTACGAAAAGGATGAGTGTTATGCTTTAAGAGATTCGTGTGTGTGAGAGAGAAGGGATGTGATGAGTTTTGGAGGATTATTAAAATTACAGGTTATTTTCTTTTGATCAATTACAATTGATGAGATAATCATAATTAATCACACCATTTGAAACAGAGTTTGATTTAGAAACTGACTCTATTTTCTCTCACTAACATCATCCACATTGTAGAGAGAAGGTGAATTTCACTAGCATAATAAAATTCATGGGTGAAGTCAAAACGTTTAGATTACAAGGATGCTTATATCAAAAGTTAAATCTACCATAGGCCACAAAAACTAAATATCTGGAAGGAGCGGAGGGGCTGGGGAATACCATGTTTCATCTACATAGCACAAAACTTGTTTCTGTCCAGAGCCCGAAGAGACCTTATATTACATAAGCTCTTCCTGCTATAAAGTCGATCCCTATGCTAGCTTTGACATGTTCAAATAAAGATGTTGATTCCATTGTTCATCGAAGGAGAGGTCACAAGAATATAATGGTCTATCGTTTTTAAGAGTCTCTCCGAAGGTTTTGAATCAGAGTAAGAAGAAATGTTTTGTCTAGGGAACTGTAAGGTCATTGGCTATCAAAGGCCTGATTTGCAGTTGTATTTCTTGTATGGGAAATAGTGGAGTTTGTTGATTCAGATAATTTTGTATGTTCATGTCATTATCCTAGTAGATGGGAAATCTGTGGCATTGAACACGAAACTGAAATAACTCGTACCCGTAAAGAGAAGATTGATCAAAACCCATTAAGGGCAATTATGGCATTAAAAAATATAATGTGTGGTGTAGGGACTTATTTGTAACTTTATTTTAAAAGAAAATAAGAGTTGAGTGCTATATACAATGTTGGAGTGCCAATATCAGCTCCCTTATAAAATAGTATTAAGAATTGTATACAACCAGAAAACCAAGTTTTCCAAAGAGAGAAATTTAGATCAACATCTTTTAAACAGCCAGCAATTCGTAATTAAGTTACCAAGTTTGCTCCGTAACTACCACATAGCTTATTTGGGTCTTAAATATTGAAGGGTGTGGTTAAAATGGGAATAGATAAGAAATAAATCTTATTTATAATTCCCTGGGTCAATGTTGTTGGCTTTAACCATAAAGTTAACAGGGATCTATGGAGTATCTACCATATTATCACATCAAGAATGCACAGTGTCTTGCTACCCATACAGTTAATCACCAATCTTTGAGTAATGGAATATAAATTTTTCAACAGTTACATCCTTGAGGTCAGAGAATCAAGGATCTTTAAAAATCAAGAATATCAGGGCAGAAGAAGAGGCATCCTGCATGTCATCCACACATACAAGACACGTGAATTGCTAAATGAGAAAATAAAATCACATGCCCATTCTGAGTATGTACATTGAATCATAACATACGTACCCCAAAGGAGACAAGACCGGGCCCTCTAGCATTTGGTCTCAGACCCTCTACACTATCATTTTCCGTCGGATCCGACCTGTGCAAAACATGAAATAATGTAGACAACATTGAATTGAAACTTATTAAGTACAAAATGAGCTAAAACATACCATAAAAGATCCATTAGAATGATAGATCCACCATCCATTGTTATTGGTCTTTCTAATTTCTCTATCTGTTCTACAGAATGTATAGATCTCCCTATGCCACCATGCATACAGATAATTTTTTTCTCAATAAGTGCAGCAAGCGGAAGATAGTTGAAAAGTTGATTGAACCGTGTCCATGCCCAAATCCCATCATTCTCTCCCTACATACACAGTTACTGTTACTACATTTACAGCCTTCAAAAGAGAAATGTTTGCAGTTAATCTATACCATTCTCTCAATGCATTCAAGACGGAAACCAAAGAGCGCATTTATATCTGAAGCCTCATGATTCCCTCGTATTAAGTGCACATTGTCAGGAAACTCGATCTGGAAATTATAACAAAGGAACATCGGGATCAGAAAAAAAAAAAAAAAAAAGGGTGGCCAGACAAAACCAATTACTAAAATAGTTTAAGGCAGAGGCTTGCCTTTAGAGCAAGGAGCAAAGTGATGGTCTCAAGGCTGTGCTGTCCTCGATCAACATAATCACCCAGAAATAAATAGTCAATATACCTGAAATATAGAAAGCAGTGTCGATAAAACAAGGCCAGCAAAAGGTTTACAGAAGTATTTATTCAGATTCTTAATTTACAAATGTAGCTAATAGCTAGAAGCATCCAATCAAAGGGACCATTTCAAGGAACAGAAATAACAAGAATATCCACATCGGGCTAAAGCAATATCTGCATGGACATATGCAAAGTGGCCCATGAGTCATAACTATCACCTGAGGCAATAACCCTCCCCATCACCCTCATGCCAAGAATTATAGCTCCTATCTAAGAGTTTTTACATCCACACCTAATCAGAAACAAGAATTGAACCCCACAGCACAATGTGTAGCACTTCAGTGACCTAAGCACAAAGCTATCTGAACTCTAGATTGACAGCTGCAGTCAAGAGATTAGCTTAAATTCAGGCGTGGGTGAAAAGTATGGGTTGCTTAGCTTGAAATATGGATCCTAATTACACAGCATTCCAAAAAATAATCATTGTCATCAAAGTAAAAGTCTGCCCATGTGTCAAGCATTCGAAACCTTTTCCCCAAAACAGATGATTCTATGCTTGCATCAGACATGTACAATATTGGATTATTCTGAGAGAACCCTGTTAAAAGAATATAGCATGCTCAACACTTTTGATTGATAGTTACGGTGCCTTACTTCAACCAACATTGACTTCTAATTTCTGATATTAAATTAAGTTGCATAATATTTTCCTAAAATTTTTCCATGAAGGATCTTTCAAATTAGTTTGCTCCATATGTTGCTTTAAGAAAAATTGTGCCATGGCCTACTTATTTTATTTGTGACAGAAGCATGAATCTGGCTCCATATCAGCAAATTCAGTTGAAGGTTCATAATTTAATGCCTTTCACCAACTCTATGTGTCTCCTCCTACATTTTTCAAATATTATCGATTTCCAATCTTAAGATTAGACGATCTAGATAATGTATTGGACTTAAAACAAAATATAATTATACAAGATCAAATGTGTTGGACTGCAACCAAACCATCGCAATCAAGTTCACATAACTTGCACCTACTTATGCTTCTTAATTATTTTAATTGCATATCCAACCTTTCCACGTCCATTGAAAATTTTACATCATTTTCAACCACTATATATCCTCATCTGACCCTATCTTCAAATCCTCTTCAAGCTCTCCCGTCTTACAAAATTTATTAAGCCAAGATAGTCAACAAAGTTACTATGAGGATGCCCAGTCATCGCACTTGCCTGGCATCTGACCGTAACTAGAGCCTTAATAAAGTCGTAATTAAAATGCATCACAAAATCTCTAGATGTCATCGCATTCCTCCATAATTATAGTAATAAAATTAATTAGTCTCATCCACTAGAGAACCATGCCATTTCAAGATGAAAGACGCCAAGAGGACAAGGTAAATTGGGCAATCAGTAAAATTATATGAAAAGAAAAATGTTCCTATTCAAATCACATGTACAAAATACTATTGTTTAAAAGGCTATTTTAGGTCTCTAGAAACTCTTGAATCCATGTATTAAGGGCACAATGACATATCACATCAACTTATACATATTCTAATGATACAACAACTTGTGTGAGTATGATAAAATTAAAAAATTAAAGCATAATATCTTTGATACTAAAGAGAGTATGTTCCAAACATAGATGTGTCACTTCTAAAGGTTCATGAACTCAAATAACCAGCACATAACAATTCCCAAAATTGTCTCTTTTATTCCCAGAAGTGAAATGGGAGGAAAATATTGGATATTGCTTACAGTCCAATATCAAACTTACGTTATATCTCCTGCAGCGGAAGGAAATCCATATTCATCAAACAGCCGCATTAAATCACCAAACTGTCCATGAAGATCACCAAATACTTTGATGGGAGCTTTCAGTTGAAGAACTGTTGGCTCTTGCATAAAGATCTGTTCAGCAGCATAGCAAAGCTCACCCACTTCATACGAATCCAGAAAAAACCTCCTGTCAGCAGGAGCTTTCCAGTTGCGAGGCCTAAGCAAAGAAGAAATAACCTGTGCAAGAAAACAATGCTAATGAAGGAACACCCCAAAACAATATTTTTCCATTTTTTCAAAAACGAACATTAAAATTAAAAGTTTGGTAATGCCTGCCTTTTTATGCAAGCCTTGAGGAGATCTCTGCCTGGTGAACCTTTTGGTAGGATATGACAGGTCATTATGCAAGGGAAGCATCCGTCTACTCTCATTTTCAAATTGATCCAAGGATAACTGCCTAATTAACCCACCCAGATTTCCTACAGCCTCTCTAGCTACTACGACCTGTAGCATAAGAAACAGCATGATGTCACAGCTTGAAGATGAATGGAACACGATATATAAAACATAGGTGCAGAGAACATACAGCTCTAGGGTGAAGGCGAACATCTAATTCGGTCTCACTACCCTCCGAATTAGTTTCTGCAACTTGTGAGCTGTCATCTGATAGAGATGTTTCTTCTGCAGCAGTGGTAGATACTGCCTGCACAGCTTGCCAGACAGCAGTAGCAGCCTCAGCTTCAGCAGCAGAAGCCTCAGCCAGTTTCTCCATAGATTTTTTATCCATGCTGCTAAAGATGAAAACGTGCCACAAAATTTTTAGAGAAAGTTCCTTTAAAATTCCCATGAAGATATATAGAGTCAGCTACAGAATTGAACCTCGTGCCACCATTTGAGGGGATATCAAGCCTGCCAGCTAAAGTTGGTGTTTGGGCGTATGAATTTAAATTGGAATCTTTTGTTCTGGGACTTGTCACAGTTGAAGCCCTCTCAGATGTTAATATAGGAGAATCAATGTCAGTCTGGATTGGTGAATCTTCCGCAATAAGAAAGTCATCTAAGATCTTGTCTGCACCTAGTAACATAACAGAATTATATGATGCAAAAAAACAAGGGAAGTGAAACATTGAAATTATAACATCAAGATTAAAAATTACTCTGATGCAGAACCAAATCCGTATCATTGTTCATTTTCCAATATTATTTGTATCAGTGGAAGTTAATTGCTTCCAGCAGTAACGAATGCATATTCCTGGTTTTTTTTTGCATAAATGGAAGCAGATAAGCAGGGCACTGAAGCATATGCCTTTAATTTTATTTTTTATTTTAACCTGAAGCATATGCCTTTAAGAAGTGTCCATGTACTGCAACAAAATCCGATGCTTTGGTTGGATCTTCATAGAGATCATTTCCATGGAAAAATGAACATGGAAGGCTAGTGCATGGCCCAATATAGCATTTTCTACGTGACCAGTGGCTTAATGAGAAGATTTTCTTGATGCGAAGGGAAAATTCATTCTCAACTGGTGAGAATTGGGCATCACTTTACCATCTCCTTATCCATTATGATGTTGCTATAGAGTTGTGGCCCTTTACTTTGGCTATGTTGGGGCTTCTGTGGGACTTCCACAATCAGTGGCTAAGCTATTTCATTTTGCAAGGGAGTTATCATGCCCACAGCAAAGGAAATATTGGGAGTCAGCCCATTATGCATTATGTGATGTCTTTGGAAGAAAAAATCAGCGTTCTTTTGAGGGAATTGAATAACCAATCCATAGGTTGGACAGCCATTTTTGGGCCTGCTTTACAATTGAGTGAACCACACGATAGATCAGATTTGGGAGAGCTATTATTGCTGAATGGAGGAGCCAGAGACAAAGTATCTTAATGATTGTTAACTACTAAAGTAGATAAGAATAAATTATAGTATGAAGCCTAGAACGGATGAAGATCATTATGGTATAGCTTACTACGGGGTTTTTTAAAAACGCCTCGGTAAGTCTCAAACAAAATGACCTCTAACATAAGCTAAAACCTAATTGATTATTTCAGGTTATCCTTTCCAAAAAAAAAAAGTAGAGGTGACAACAAAGAATATGAAGGATCACTGTGGACTGGGATTGGGGTAGAGATAGCATCATATTGGAGAGATGAGATGGTGTCTATATATGTAATATAGATATAAATATATATAAATTTACAAATGAAGAAAGAGAAATAACGAAGAAGATAAATATTAAAACAATGCTGTTCAGTTTATGAATGTAATTTGTATTTCACAGGTTTTATTTTTCACTCTTTTTATATTTAAACAAAAGAAAGGAAAACTAGTGACTTCCTGTCGCTAGTAACAGCGACCTGATGTCATGTCCTAAATGGAACTCTTGTATAGTTCCGGAGGTTATACACCATATCAGGGAGTTATCTATCTGCAAACGTAGTGGTTCACAAGGTCATTTTTGTGATCTACCCAAAAAGAAATTATAGTCCTTGCAGTTGTTGAAACCATCCTAGAAATTAGATTCAGACTGCCAGATCTTCTTAACAAAAAGACAGTCTAAGTTCCGCATCTACAAAATTACAGTCATTACCTCCTTTGAGACCACCATAAATATATATCTCACCACCAACAGACGCAGCTGCATGGCGGCAACGACGCATAAGCACCGAAGAAGGATCGTTCTCGGCCAGTCCCTTGCTTGTGCGTGAGTTAATCACCAGCCCATTTCTATCTAACCAAACTCCAGCAGCAGTGTCCAATACTTACAGAGCAGAAATGCAAGCAATAGGATCATGATTGAGGTTTTCCACAATTGAAATGAATTACAATAATCCTTCACTCTGTGGGTTCGGGAAGCAGAACCTAAAATACCTGCAATAGCTGCTTCGGTTTCTACTGCCCGTCCTCCCCTAAGAGCACCTCCCGTAACATGCAATCTAGCACCAACAAATACCTGATAACCAGCAACATTAAGATCATTGACACTAGAAAAATATCAAATTTAAAAAAGCCGAACTCTCAAAATAACAGAAAAGGATATAAAGAATGCCATCAGCTATCCATAATCCAAAGACCAGAAAGTGTGGTCAACGCAAAGAATAATACAAAATCTCCAGTGAAATTAATTAAATAAAAAATAAAAAAAATAAAATAAAAAAAGATATATATAGCTAATGTTCCGTAGATAGAAGCTTCTAGCGTACAGTTATCACTTACCCCAGCATGTTCATACCTTGGCGAAGGAGACACCCCAGGTGCAAGAGTCCACTCCCACTGACCATTCCTATGCATGAGGAGTCCATAAGCATCCGCCAGTGGCTGTAGATGCATGCATACAACAAATAATCTGAGACAATTATACTTCATGAATTCCAAAAGCATTTTTTTACTTCATGAATTCATTCTAGTATAGTGGGCAATGTCTACTCTAACCCCCACCTACCTAATCAATGATGGATCCAAGGAAGGAAAGTCATCACTTTTGGTAAATTATGGCCTAATTTTCACCATTTCCTATTTTGTACTCCTAGTCCTTCTAAAGTTGCATTCTGTATATTCTATCTTAGGCCTACACACACACACACAAAAAAAAAAAAAAATCAATAGAATCAACACCAGAGTGCCTTTCGCGGCAATTTTTCATTATAAAGCGCTCTAAGTTAATTAAATGTAAGCTGTTGTCTTTTTCCTAGGTTTTAATACTTAATGGAGTCGGGTGAGGGGCAGCACCCTAGACCACCGATAAAGTCAGCAAATATCCACGTAAGGTAAACCAGTGAATATAGCATATAAATGATGGTAACAATTTATCCAAATTAGAATATAATATAGTAAACCTCTGTGTCAAAATATTAGCAATTACTGAGTAGTTTAAGTTCCCACAAGAACAATAGGTTATACCATGCCTGCAGAATCTCTTCCACCACAAAGCAAAAACATGCCATCAGAGCGTGCACTACCTGTTGCATACCTACAACAAACAATGTCAAAGTGTTGCCACATCATTCAGATTTCAAGCTCTAAATTACAAGCATAAAAGCCTTTAAAATATTTTGCATATACTCACACCACTCAAAAACTTGAAAAGAAACATCACGCACACATATAGACATTAAATAGAGGCAAAGAATCAATGGTGTTAGATTATGAAAAACTAGAGAGATTTTGTTTGTGAAGGAGGCAATACAAGCAACAGTAGATACCCATTTAATCTTGACGCACCTTTAGACAATATTAACAAAATATGTTAAAGATAAATTTTTCAAAGAAATCAATAAACAATACAAGTGAGCATTCATAACACCATGTATCATGCATTAGCATATTAACTACAAGTGCCAACAATCAGCGACTGAGTATTCGTGTACTAGCTCCTTAAAGCTGAGGATCCCTAAGGACAAGGCTAGTGTCACAAAATATGGGCAATAATCAATGACCACATGGAAAGAAGCAGAAGTTAAAAGGGAATAGAGAAAGCAAGTGAATAAGAAAGGAAGAAAGAAAGGAAGAAAAAACCAAAACGAACTAGTAGCGATGCTGACTTGAGCATGGGTTTGATACACACAAAGCTCTAAGAACTGCAACTGAAAAGTTTTGGGACGAGGTAGGTTCAGGTAGCCCTGCTATGCTAATGTTACATGGAAAATTCAAAACACACAATATTTGTGAGCAGCATCCAGAACCCAAGCATCTGACAGCACTCTATTCAACAGTCATCACAACCCAATTTTAAATTTGTGAAAAAACACATATACACTTACATTCTAGCCGAAGGCCTATCACCTTCTGGATTAAGCCTCTGCCACACATATGGTTTCTGAGCAGTATCCAGAGCCCAAGCATCTGACAGCACTCTTTTCCCTAAAAAAAAATTAAATCACCCTTAGAATGTTCTAGTATTATTAGAAAAAAAATTTTTTTTTTTTTTTTTGGGTAAAACAACATATGGAACACAATCACTTTTTCTTTTCTTTTCTTTTTTTGGATAAATGTAGAGAATCACTAATACTAGACCAAGGGAAGTAGAAGTGGAAAATAGCTGGCACAACCTCTTATTTACTCAAAACTACTTTTATTCGGCCTTGAAATCGCCAACACATAATGGGGATAGATGTAACAAGAACTAAGAGATGGTTGTATGACTAAGAGAGGAATGCAAGCCCCAAGTCAAAAGACCTTAAACCTTTTTCATCTTGAAAAACCAGGCTTGTACGGGGTTACTCTGCATAACCAATAGAATGGAGTGGCTTTTTTTTTTTTAATCCTCCCTAGTCCCTATTACAAAGAATAGCTGGCCAACTTTATTGTACCCCAAAGGATTGGTCATTTAACCTTAGAGAGTTGGCTTCAGGTTTAAATACAGTTCTAAGATAATACTAACCTTGAGGCCTTATCAACTAATCATTGTAGATCACATTTGATTCTCTTATGTGGACAAATGCATACAAGAAAAATGTACAACCCTAGCACAGAATGGGCCTTCAGCCCTCTTCATCTGAGCTCTTCTTATATAGGGTAATTGTGCAGGTTTAATTGTTTGTTGCGTAGTTTAAACTACATAAAGTAGGTTCTGTTTTTGCCAACTGAAGTCAAAGGTAAAATTGCAAGTGCCTCTTGGCCCTCTTCTATAAAGGGTGTTGCTGTCAGACAGGGGATGATCAAAATACAATCCCAGACATTGATGGATTATAATTTGATCCGTGAAGTTGTCCGCAAAGAGTTAATATTAAAGCTTGCTATTTCTGTATACAAAAGTTGAATAAATTCTTTATTCAACTACGTTCATTACTGAGAACTATACAAATTCCCTATGCAATTGACTACATTTTGTTTCACTGACACTCTGAGAAACGCTATTGACTAGTTCCACAGATTCAGAAGGATCATTTATGCAAACATTCTTAATTCTCTTTGCAATCTACGGACATGCCTTATGAAGCCTAAGTTTTTTGGTGATGGTTATACACAACTATCAGACAACTAACCCAATTCGAGTTGAATTTTTTAAAATTCTGAACTTGGCATTGGTATCATATTTCAATTTTAAAAAGAACAACCAACAGATAATAAATAAATTCAAGTGATAAATTTAAAGAGGGAAAACCTCTCACCATCATTGCCACTGACAGTAACAAGGTATCGTTGCGCAACCAAATCCATTACATGGCCATATCGAGGCCCAGGACCTTGTCCTTGAACAAGAACTCTAAACTCAAACCACAGTAGTCAAGTCAAAATTCAACACAACCCAATAGAAGAAAATTCAATTCTATCTCTAGAAGCTTACCTGTGCCACTTGAACTTGTCATTGGTCAAGTCAAGCACGTAGATATCATCTGTTGAATGCCCAGCAGGACCTATACCGCCCTAGAAAAGCAGCATCGATCCATCAAAATTAAATTTAAAAATAAACATAAAAAATCACCCCAAGAAAGAAAAAAAATAAAATAAAATAAAAAATAATCAATCTTTCCCCATAATTCTGCATTTCAATCACCTGAAACACAACCATGGTGCCAACTGCAACCGCGACGTGCGCAGCCCTCGGAGAAGGCGGCTCACCAGCTGGTTGGACTCTAAGTAATATAAACACAACAAAAATCCATAATTAACATTCAATTTTTAAAAATTCGTAGAAAAAAAAAATAAAAAGAAAAAAAAAAAGAAAAAAGAAAAGAAAAGTAGTATTGAAGTATAAACAAGACATGCCTGGTCCATTTTTTGGAGAGAACATCATACGAATGAACAGAATTCGTCACTCCCGCTAACCCTAAAGTAGAATTAACAAATAGTTCAGCAACTTCCAATTGAAGTAAGCAAACATAACATATACATACATAGAGTTTGTAGAGAGAGAGAGTTATACTGATGCCGGGGGCGGATGAGGTGGAACCGCCGCCCTCGATGGCAGTGGCGCCGCCAAAGAGGATGAGGCGGGGGCCGTGGGATTTGGTGGCAGCGACGGCGGTGAGAGAGTGGCTGCAGCGGAAACCAGGAGAGTCGTCGTCGGTGTCCCAATAGGACTCCAAGGCCCGATAAGTCGGAGCCGGGTGGAGCCACGACTTCGAACCCATCAATCAAAACCCAAAAAACTCGGAGATCGAGAGAGTTCAGAAGCAGAACTGCTTACAGAGAGTCCAAAAGAAGAAGAAGATAAAAATGAAGAACCCCAAAAGTGAATTGGATCCAAGTCCCCTCCCGGGTGGTGATGGTGCGACCCGGGATCGGCCGTCGGGTACCACCGAAACCGGAGCCTCTCTCTTTCTCTACTAGCTTGGTGAGCTAGTAGAGTTTGATTTTCCGAGAAAATTGAGGTAATGATGCCATTTTCCTCTTGGTTTGTGAATATATTTACAGACACCAAAGAAATAAAACCCTATGACTATTCGAAGACAATGGAGATTGTGGAAATGGAAATCATATAAAATGGAGCCTTTTTTTTTTCTTTTTTTTTTTTTTTGTGTGTGTGTGTGTGTGTGTGTGTGTGTGTGTGTGTGTGATTATGCGTATCATATGGCATAGCCCTTTGAATTTGGAAAAAGGTTTTTTTTTACCATAAATTCATGGTTGACATTGAGCTTTTAAGGTTGAATAATATCTTCATCAGTCCATTACGTGTCCTAAGAAACTTCTATTTGAGTGGGATGGGACATGTAGGACTAATGATATCTTTGATTGGGAGAGAGAGAATGGAAGGAAAATGAATTGAGATGTTCTAATAACTCATAGCATCTCTGATCATTTTCTATATATTTTTGTTAAATTTAATGTATCATAAATTTATACAAAAAAAAAAAAATTGTATTACCTATTTTTTTTGTATTACCTATTTTTAGTTCTAACAATTATTTTATATTTTTTATGTAAAAAAAAAAATTTCAATAGCAACCAATCATGTATCATACCCAAATCTTACCTAACTTTTACAAACCCACTTGATTCATTTTACTTTTTCGCAATTAAATCTCACGTCTCAATCTTCCTCATTAGGAAAAAAATAATAATTTCTCCCTATATTTCACTTTTTCATCCCGCCAATAGCAAAACTTTCCTACCGCCACCAAAATTCTAATTTAATAACAAATAATAGAATTATGTAGATTAAAATATATATTTAATCTTTAGCTTGCTAGTACATATTTATTTCATTATAATAGAATGTAAAAGAATAAAAAAATCTAAAAAAAACTCTAAAATCTACGGCGATGATTGTAGAAAATAAGATCAAACGTAAGTGATGAATCAAATTATATTTATTAATAAATAAATAAAGAAAATAAGATCAAACGTAAGTGATGAATCAAATTATATTTATTAATAAATAAATAAAAGATGATGGAGCAGTTTTCACCTTACTGCAAGTTGCAGATTCTTTTCTATGGCGCTCTAGAAAAATGGAAAACAAAGACGCGTAAAGGAATGAAAGTGAAGAAAGAGAACCGCCAGTGAAAAATGGGGAGGAGAGAGAAAATATACTTACGTGGTTGTGTAAAAAGAGTATGTAAAATACACAACCCTTTTACACATTGGTGATGTGGCAATGTATCTTAACAAAGTGCTGAAGATGAAAAAAAATTATAAATCATACGTGGCAGTGTGTATTTTACACAAAAGAGTTTTTTTAACATACCGCTGAACTCTCAGGACTAGTTTAAAGTTTGTTTCGGACTCATGAACATGTTCATAAACATAAACTTGTATGGATTAATAACTATAGTTTGAATAAGTTTAAAAACAAGTCCAAACGATTTTGAACACGATCTCAAATAATTTGAATGAATTTTATAAATGAATGAACTTAATCTAAAATTTTCAAAATTACAAGTTAAGTCTAAACAAATTTAAACTCAACTCGGTATTTGCAACCGGTAAATAATAATATAAAAAAATAATAAAAAAAGAAAAAGAAAAAAGAAGGTATATATAAGACATCATATTCCGCAAAAAGAACAAAATAAATAAATAAAAACAAAAGTACATACCCAACCAATTTGGCTAAACAGTTGGAACTTTATTCAACCAAAAATGATTTCTTGTTTCAATGTTCAATAATTTCATGATTGATTAAAAGAAGTGCAACATTTTCTCTTATTTTATTTATCATTCTACTCACTTAAACATCATAGAAGTAAATTCATTTGTGTAAATTCATATTGTAGCTGTTAACTCTTTTGGATACCATGTAGCTATTGTAAAAGACACATCAGAGTTGCGTTTAGGCTTCCTATTTTATTTATTTATTATTATTATTATTATCATTTTATTATTATTATTTTTTTTATACCTTAAAAACAAAACAAAAAATGGCCCTTAAAATTGGACCCCCACTTTAAGGTTGCCAATAAACAATTAATTGGAGATGCAGGGTATCGAACCCTGTACCTCTCGCATGCAAAGCGAGCGCTCTACCATTTGAGCTACATCCCCCTTTTGGTTAGCAGGCCAATTCTATTTAAAATAGAGAAATTTTAGGTTCATTTAAAAAAAAAAAAAAAAAAAAAAAAAAAAAAAAAAAAAAAAAAATTCCCATAGGAAACTCATACTCACAAACCCTCTCTACAAGGAATCGAACCCTCCCATATTTTTAAATTTCCAACATGACTCAAACAAAATGTTAGATAGTGAGACAATAACAAGAGAAAATGGGTACATAATTTAACATATAGCGCTAGGGTGAAAAAACACTCTTTAACATAAATATTAATCCCCTTAATGGCCAAAAATTGACTGATAAAAATTATATTTTGTGAATGTTTATTTATTGATTTAGTGCTATGTTTGGGATCACGGCGTCTTGAATTTGGGATTGAAATAAATTTAAATAAAATTTTGAACTAATTTTTTTTCAATTCCAAATCCAATGCCCCCATTCTATACTTTTAAACACAACAATGTAAATTAAGAAGGGCAAGCAAATTCTGATTGCAAACCACTAGTTCAAAAATATGCATCATAAATAGATATTACGGGTATAGAAAAAAAAAATGATATAAAATTAAAAGCATGTATAAAAATAATATCAAAAATTAAATTTATCTATATTTTTCTTCTAACATTCCATTTTAACAATGTCAAAACACCCAAATATGATACAATAACTCTAGCACATTTGAAGAGAACCAATTTCAACAATTGACAAAATGTGGAGAATTTAATTGATAAAAGCAGAGTAGTGACTGTTAATGTATGAACAATTACTTAACAAAAGTCTAGATAATTAGTAGTAGTATAATTTATTGACAAAAAGATTCAATTAGATTCATGATTCACCATATCGGCCAATACGTGACGTAAACCATTGGTAACTCTTTTTTTTAAGAATGACTAATAAATGTTGTGCAAAACCCCTCCATTAGCAATGGTGTCACACCCCAACAACTTGCTCAGCTCCTCACCGTTCCTCACATCCAACTGTATGTGCCTCAGAATAATCCGATTTCTCTTGTTGTCCCTTGCAGTATTTTTCCAGCAAGCTCTTGAAACTATCAAAAAACACAAATCATCAATAAGAAAAATTTTCTCGAAATAGAAAGAGAAAACTTAAAATAGAGAAATCAGAAACCTCATAGGCTTGAAACGGGCAACTGTAGGCCAGTTTTGTGAGATCTGGAGACGGGCTTGGAAGTTCTAGGCTTGCTTCGAAAGCCCATGAACTTGGTTCACGGCGAGGGCTAATTGTGAAAGGAGGCTACACCACGCATGCAACACCTCTATGCTCGGCATCATAATGGGAAGAGTAGAGAATACAGTGGAGAGTGTAGATAGTAGAATATAGTAATGTTCTAGAGTCCTTTGAAATTGTGTAGAGGGATATGGAGCATTATAAGGAGAGTTTGGAAGATTCTACAATATTGGAGGGATTGCACTGAAGAGAGTAGAAGATTTTTGGAGATGTGGAAATTCTAGAATTATAAATGTGTAGAGAGTTTTAGAAGTTAGATGGATGCCTATAAATAGATAAGGAGGGTCGTTTGTAACCAACAAGCTCCAAGTGAGAGGCAGAGGATTTGGGTTGAGGTAGCCTTGTACAACAACTCTAAGCAATAATCCAAATGTTATTTCCTCTCTCAATAGAAATGGTAGAGCAATGGAGAAACTCAATACTCGTGGCAAGTTGCAGTCTTGGTGGTGGGTAATTTCAAAATTCAAACAGATTATTTGAACGTTAAAGTGATGGAGGAGGATATAAAGGTTCATAAAGGATTATTGTTAATGTAGCAATGTTCTATAGGGCTTGATCCAGTAATGCTAGTTGAATAACAATGCATCCTCTTATCTAGTAACCTAGCTATTTTATGTTTTAAAGGTGGGTGTCATCAACATTGAAAAATCAATTATTTAATAGTGTCTCCTCAATTTTCTAAAGTAAAAATGATAATGTCAAATGGGCACTTGAATTTCTCAACTAAACAACTATGGAATTGTGAATTTCTCAACTAAACAACTATGGAATTGTGAAAATATCACCTCTCACAAATTATATAAGAAATGTATGCACTATGTAAATAACTATTTTTTCATATATGTGATGAACTGAATTTGGTATTAATTAAAAAACATAGGAAATGAAAGCAAATTTGATCAAAGACTCACCATGACATTTACATACGCTTCCCTCTCACCTCTAGGGAAGTGTTTTCTCCCTCAAAGACATATAATGATAAATTCCTATAGATGCATATATCGAACTTAAAACACTTGAAGTGATAAAATTATGCTAATTTTTGTGGTACGTTGGAAAAAATAAATTGTCTGGTTTGATATCTTCTTCCTCTGAAACACATCATACACAATTATACATCTCATTGCATTGCAAATGAAATCTCTCTCCATTTGTCGAAGTGTCACATAGCTCCAAAAAAGTACATAAATTGAAGGCATGTCTAGATAAAAGCATAAGAAAATTTAAACAATTTTGACCCAGACAAAAACCTCAATTCATTCATGGCTTGTTAAATCTGAATCCTCATAACACACATGCATGAGACTGAACTGAAGATTGGAGGGTCACACCATATAGAATTCCCTCCTATTTGGATTGTACACTCTGGTATGGGATGGGAACGCATCATGTTCTCTCTCTCCCCAACATTATACAAATACAAAACCCCAAAATATATCTACACAACTCTACACATCAAACATAAGATGATGCTATGCTTTTCCATTTTCTAGGCTCTTTCTTTATCTTTTCAGTTGTACATTTAACTCGCCCTTAAACCACGTAATGGCGAGAGCCTCGTGCACCGGCTAGCCTTTTAGCCCTTTATCTTCACACAAAGGAGTGACAAGAGAAGGATGGTTCTTGAAACAATCCAAATTGAAAGGAACCACACCTTTGAGACTCTTCACATTTGCTTTAGCACCATGAGCAATCAGACAAAGAGCAACCTGCACATGCCCTGCCTCCACAGCACGGTGAAGTGCCGTGTAACCGGAATCATCCACGAGCTCAACCTGAGCTCCATGGCAGAGCAAGAGCTTCACGCTGTCGATCCGACCCTTGAATGCAGCTCTGTGCAGAGGGGTCCAACCATTCTGATCCTTACCATTCACATTTCCACCTTCAGCTATGCAATTCTTCATCCCATGAACATCATCCAATCTCGCAGCACGAAGCAACACATCACCCAAATGCAAAATATCGTATAATTGAGAGTGACCCTTTTCGACCGCCATTGCAAAAGCTGTTTTTCCTTCTTTGTTCAGAGCGTATTTGGTATATGATGAACAGTTCAACAAGAACTCCACTGTTTCAGTGTGACCATTTGAAGCACAGCAATGGAGAGGAGTGCATCCATTACAGTCTGCGATTTCAGTGTCTCCTCCGATTGAAACTAGAAAACGAAGCAATTCGATGTTTCCATGAATGGCTGCGATGTGAAGTGGTGTTCGACCATTTAAATCGATTGAATTCACGTCGATTTCTTTGAACCCTAGACACAAAACCTTCATTAAATCCAATCTCTGCATCTCTGCTGCTTCGTGCAAGAATCGATCAATTGGGTGTTGAATTGTACATCCAGACTCGATCAGGACCCGAACCACATCGACGTCGCCGGATCGGACTGCGAGAGACATCACCGACCGTTCATCGGAGTCTCTGCTGTTCGGATCTGCTCCGGCGTCGATTAAAGCCGAGACGAGTTGAGAGTTTGCATTCGCGATGGCCAATTTCAGCAGCGAATTGAGCTGAAACTCATCGCAATACCCAATCGCTTTGGAGAACAGGAAAGTGGTTTCCAGGGTTTTGGGGGAAGGTGAGAGGAGGGATTCGACGACGTGAGGGCCGACGAGGGAGATGGGGATGGCGGCATCCTTGAAAACGTGTGGGCCAGGCTTGGCGAACAGACGGCGGAGATCCTCCTGATTGGCTTTGCCGACGGGGAGCATGGAGGAGCGGACGAGGACGGTGTCGGCAGGGGAAGATAGAGGTGGGTGGTCGGAGGGGTGGGAGAGGAGGAGAGAGAAAGTGGAGGTGGAGAGAGGAGGGAGGATGGAGAGAGGATGGGTGAGAGAGAAAGTGGATGGGTTAGTTGTAGAGAGAGAAACAGCAACAGACATGGTGTGCATGAGGTTGGTAAGCTTGAACGTTGCAGTGCACTTTTGGGCTCTGGTGAAGAAGAGGTTGACTTCATTCACGTCAGGCTTAACCAGTCTGTCCATGGCCTTTGCTTGGACGGACTGTAAGTTTTCAACTTTTGATGAACGACAGAGACTAGTATATTCGTTGAAGATGAAGATGATTGCAGATTCGTTGGTGGGGGTGGTCCTTTTTCTTGTACTATTACATTATGTTAAACCCTCCCCTAAGTCCTTATATAGTATTATATTAAACTACGTATGTATATTATATATGTATTTATTTAGTTTATGTTGAATTTTCCAATCCTCTGTTCTAATAACACAGTATTGTAACTGAGCACGACACTGATCGTTTACATTCCTAGAACGATTATAGCTATTACCATTAACTTTTGTGATTTTTTTATACGTGTAGGGTGATCACAGTTGCGAATAATCACGGCCATTGGCTCCAATATAGTGCGATGTTGTTTGTTGCAGTGGATACTTGCTCTTAGGTTTGATGGTGGAGAAAGAGAAATGGTGACTTTGAAGATAGTGACGTTTGATTTTAAGCTTATTTGACTTGGGGTGGGCCAATGGATTTGGCAGATGTGAATGGAAATCATGCTCAACGCAGCCCACAAGTTGGTTAGACCACTGATCAAAAAAACGCCTCTTAAGTTTTTTCGCGGTTTCTAGAAGTGCAAAATTAGTCGCAATACATTGAGATAATTCTCCATCCCCGCTCGCATCCCGTCCCACCTTGCTTTATTTATAAAAATAATGAGAATTCTTTTAGTTAAACGAAAATAGGTACGAGAATAGAGGTAAATTATGAATTTTTATCGGCTCGGGACTGGGGGAGGGGATAGGGTAAACTCGTCCTGCCCCGATTAAATATGAAGTTACTAATATACCCTTATATATAATAATTTATTACTAAATTTGATTTATTATATATATGAAAATAAGAAAAAATGTGTTTTTTTTTAATCAAAAAAATTATGAGGCCGGGACGGGGCGGGGACAGGGATAAGGTGTCGGGGGCGAGTATGGGAATTTTGACAAAATTTTAACTGGGGATAGGGACGGGGATGGGGAATGAAAAATGCATTGGGGATGGGGATGGGATGGGGATGGGGAATGGAATCTCCGCCTTATCCCGCCCTGTTGTGATCCTAACAATACCTAGTTGTAATAGGGGATGGAGTCAGAATTTTAATTTAGGATGACACAATGTTAATGAAAACAAACAAATCAGAGAAAAGAAAAAAAAAAATTAAAAAAGAGAGAACTTAGAAGAGGTAGAAGGGGAAAAAAAAGAAAAAAATTAGAGTTTAATTTGAGAAAGAAAATTTAACCTTTTTAAAGGAATTTAAAGAGAAAATAACTAAACATTAATAGACAATTTTAGAAACCAATAATTTTAAGAGGGGCATTAACTTAAAATTTTCTATATTTATGCATGATTTTTTTATTTTTACCATATATACTTAATGGGCGGGGCAGGAAGGGCGCAACTGCCCCGAGCATGCTGGCTCCATCCCTGATAAGGAACGTCATTTATATATGTGTGATTTGTCATAATATAACATTGTGCTATATTACAATTCATCATATGTGTGTTAGAATGATTGCACAAGTGAATAAAGACAATCATTCGTTACGATAGACGATGCTATTTATTCGGGAAGGATCCTTGTTCTTAGCTTACTTTCTTTATGGTGTTCTATTTTTTTTTGTTAGGTTACAAGACATCCTAAAACTCTATTGACAATTCCTTATTCATGCAACTAAATATTACAGCTACCTGTCCTCACATCTCCTTGTTTACTTTAACAGTGCAACTTCTAATAAGTAACTTTAGGATGATACTTACATCATTGAGACTAGCCGTAAATTGGGACGTCTCTTAAACACTGAATTTAAATAAATACGTAAATCAATGATAGCATATATTCAAGATTTACCTTATAATTATAAAAAAAAAAAAACACCTCCAAATTAGAAGGGTTTTTGTTTTGATTTATTTTTATTTTTACCTATTTTTTAAATAAAAAAAATAACTTTGGGAAGGCTGATTAAAATATGGCAGAGACAGTCTCAATGGAAGAAGGAAGGGATTGCAGTACCATTAAAAAAATTGGAGCACTATTATAGCAAAGTTGAGAAGAAATATAGTTTATGATTAGATACAGGACTATAGATTACATAGATACACCCTATGATCAATAGATTAGAAATCACAAAGATCCTTTATATTTTTTAAAATTGGGACTCTCCGTGAATCTTCCCAGGGACATAATGCAATGTAAATTTGATTCCTATTGGTTGATTAATTCCAAGTTAGTTGTTGTTGCATATGTAGTCCACATCTCATGTAGTAGGGTCCATTATTATATTACGTGTGAGAATCACAATTATTATTTGATCATATAATATTTTCACTGCATTGCTTTTGCCAAGTCGCTTCAAAGACCTAATTTTAAATTTAAGATAACTTTCTATAACCTACTTTGAGTTTGGAGGGACTCTTAGATTATATTATGTATTGTACTGTAGGGTTAGGGTTAGGCGTCTTCACTTATCCTAATTATCATCTATAGCCAAGAAAAAAAAAAAAAAAAAAAAAAAGGCCCCCAGAGAAATATTAGTCCATAATTCCTGAATCCACCATTGTTTATATTATTCACTTGAATAGAACATACATTTTTGCTCTCTCTTATTTCTAATATTTCCTTTAACATGACAACTTTCAATAAGTAACTTTAAGATACTTGCATCATTGAATCGTAAACTTGTACATCTCAAATTCAACTCAAATACTAAATTTACGCAATACGTATGATTTATGAGTGATTATACATATTCGAGGTTTATTTACAATACACGAACACCTCCAAATTGAAAGGGTTTTCCTTTGATTTTTTTTTTTTTTTTCTTTTGGTAAAGAAAAATATTTGGGAAGGCTGATTAAAATATGGCAGAGACAATCTCAATGGAAAAAGGAAGGCTACTACCATTAAAAAAATTTGGAGCATTATTATAAGGTTGAGAAGAAATACAGTTTATCATTCCATAGATACACCCAATGATCTACAGATTAAGAAATCACAAAGATCCTTTATACGAGTATTTAGAAAAATTAGGACTCTCCATGAATCTTCCTAGGGTCATAATGCAATGTAAATTTGACTCTTATTGCTTGATTAATTCCAAGTAAGTAGTAGTTGTTGCATATGTAATCCACATCTCATGTAGGGTCCACTATTAGTATTATGTGTGACAATCACAACCATTTTTGACTGGTGAAATTTGTCTGTTGTTGCAGCATCAATGGACAATTTTATATTTTTCAATTTGTGATGGAACCTTTATTTAAATGTTATGTGTAGGTAGGAAAGGACAGTCCTTGTTATTTGATCAGGGAACCATGTCTTTAGTCTTAACTTTATTTAAATCTTTAGTTTTCCTATTTGTATGATTAATTGTCTATGATGTTCTTGATTGTGATTTTAATAATTTGATAACTTTTCATTGAAAACAACATATTAAATTGTTTTTGCAGGTTGTCTCAAAATTTTTATTGGAAAGCAAGTTGTGAATAAATGACTGTTATAATGAATTGGTAAACTAGATTTTATTTGTTTATTTTTGGCACCAAAATAAGAAGAAAAAAAATACAAGTGAAATTACTTAATGAACTTTGTATTTTTACATAAACTTGAATTTTCGATTTTTTACGTGGGAAAGTATTACTAAACTATAGTTCTTGCTAGTAAAATGGAGAATTGTTGGTTTTTTACATAGACTTAAATTTTCGATCTTTTACGTTGCAAGGTGGGAAAGTACCACTAGACTACAATTCTTGGTAAAATTTTCAATAGGAATAATACTAAGGAAAAAAAAAAAAAAAAAAAAAAAAAAAAAGAAGCAAATTTGTTGGATTATTGCATATCTTAATGCAAATTTGCACTTTTTTTTTCCACACATTTTCTGTCAAAGCTTTCACTTTTTTATTTCATTTTTGGGTGATTGAAACCTGTAATTTTTTCGTCCCATAGAAACAAATGGGTGTGTGAGTTTTTTACCACTAAAATAAAAACCTGTAATTTTTTCATTAATAATAATTAAACCATCCGTCCACAGCAGACAATTTTTAAAACCTAAAGCAATTTTTGGAGCAATGGGCTTGAAGGGAAAGAGGAAAAACACAAGAAATTCAGTCATATTAATCAAGAAAAGTAGAGAAAATTGCTCATGAAACTGGCTGGGTTGGGGAAGCATGTTAGCAGTCTATTGCAACAAGAACATATTTATATTTATTGTAAAGTAAACTTTATCCGTGGTTGGATCGCTCGCGGTATAACAGATTTGAACGAATATCGATGTAAATCGACTTAATTGATCTGTGCATAGAGGTATGTAACGGCATCACATCATTGAAAAAGAGTAATGAACCGACCGATACGACAAACCATGACTTTACCTTTAAAAAAAAAAAACATATTTATATCAGCAAACATATGTTATATATTATATTCAGTACTAGAAAACAGGTGTCTTAGAATTGAAATTGAAGAAAAATTATTTTAAAATTTATACTATTTTTTTTTTTTTTTTTTTTAATTTCGAAACACTTAATTTCATACAATGGAACATAACAAACACAACATTATACCTGAATTTTTGGTTTGCAGTATACTCTTGAATTCATATTAGCTTCACAAATTATGTCAATATCATCATCACCAGCAGCAAAAACCTTGATGAGACATTGTGTTCACTTTTGATGGGCAGGTGGGGCTAAAATTGTACAAAATACGTAGTAATTAATAATCTAATGCCACATTTAAACATCACAAGATAAAAATAATTAGAAAATGAGGTTTGTAGAGTCCCATCCTACAAGCAACAAATTAATCAATTTCTGAAAGAAACATTTTCCTGTCTAAAACAACTAAGTAGCTTTCGAATTCTTCAAAGAGAATGATAAAGAAAATTATCAGAAACAGTGATAAAAGTTAAAACATTATTACGTAACAATTAAAAGGGTTGAGTGAAAAATATAAAATAAAATCATGTTATATATAGAATTT